ACTTTAGAAAATGATAGCTGAACTTGTTGAAAACCACTTTTCGATCAAACGTAAGGAACAAAAATTATTAATGATTCAAGTCCCTGATGTCTTATGATTATGCTCAATCAACTGTTCAGCAGGCAACATTGGTGTTTATGGCGCGTAGAATAGAGGACAAAAATCATGGCTACTATGTCACACTGCAGAATACAGTGTTGCCCACAATACAGTTGCTTAATCTTGCCATAAGATTATCAATCTCTTAAAAAATTAATAACTATTTAATTTGCCGTTTGGATGAAAAATGATCTTGTGCAAAGTTGTAGCTGATAAAAATTCCCATAAGAATAGCAATAGAATGTGTTAACAGTACAATGTGTAAAAAGGCAAGAAGACAATGAACAAAAAGTTTTGTTTTCCCATAGTAATTTCCATGTAAACTTCAATTGGTTTGTGCCAAGTCAGTTTCTTATAAAATGAGTTTTCTCTTTTGGAGGCTAATCAGGACCCGATTTGGCACCGTTTGAGCACTGTGGAGCGAAAATTTCAAATTTTGCATCAGTCTAGTGACCACACATACTATTCATTTGCGTGTAAATGTCATGTGTACTTCTGAGTGGATTCTGTTTATGTGTGGTCAAATGAAAATCATGTGGAATTTCACATGGATATTTGTAAAGAAAATGTGTAAATTGTTTTGAATCAACCATAACCGAAACATTGAAATACTTGAAAATTTTAAGATAAAGTATAATAGTCAAAAATGCATGAAAAACAACAATTTTGTGTGGTTCTACGTCATACTGCGGTCGTGTCTAGGACACAACCCTTTACTTTTTTTGTCTCTTAGAGCGTTTCGATTACTTGAGTGCCGGTTGACATATTTATCTTGGATGTTGCCAAACCGGTAGACAACCGGACATATTGCATAGTTATGAAGCTCAGGCGAAGATTCCTTGTCTGTCAGGAATAAGCTTGGTACAATAGCAGGTTTATTTGAAAATTTTCCATCTGTCAAATTTAAGTCCACATTCACCAAATGGAACACAGCCTAGCCGGCGCCGGTGGTGTAGTGGTAAGCGTGACTGCTTTCTCACCCGAATTGGCCTGGGTTCAATTCCAGCCGAGGTCATCTAGTTTTCACTGAAAATCCTATGTATGAGTGCTCATTGCAAGACAGTATGCCCATAGAGGTAACTCTAAGACCAGAAGGTCCCGAAGATTCGTGTTCAATTTTTTGGCTCAGCTCTGGTACTATCTTCGGTCCCAAGCTAATCGATGCACCCCTCGAAACATAAGAAAATCCATGAACCCCTCTTGTATCTGTCAAACTTTCATAGCAAATCAAAACAAACATAGTGTAGTACTATAATTTTGACTAGAATGGGATACGTTAATCGTTTGCTTGGGACCAATAGGCTAGTCAAGCAGTGAGCCAATTTAAAATCGTTAGTTTCGAATTGATTGTTGGTATGCCTATAATTTCATATCAGTCCCATTGGAAAAAGTAGGCATTGAGAAAGTGGTAGTTGAAGTTAAGAAATGCAATTTCCATGTAAATATTAAAACAATCATAGTAAATTAATCGATAATTTTGCCAAGTTAAAATCAGTTGAAATGAAGCTTGCATGTAGTGTTATTAACGAAAAAAAGCGATTCAAAAAGCAGAACTTGACCTCTGGACGATTGAATTTCAGGATGGGACTGATATGCGACATTGCTTGATGGGACAAAGTGACTTGATGTTGTTTTCACATTTTTCATGATCAAAGTTCGTAGTGTTATCACGTAATATAAAAGTAGATGCCAATTGATAATGGATAGCGTTATTATCTTAAAATTGAAGAAAATCCATATGGGACTGATATGCGATTATAGGCAGTATATTACATGATATAAGCCAATACGGGGTATAAGGCTGTGTTCCATTTGGTTAATTTACACTTAAATTTGATACTTAGAAAAAAAATTATAACTCTAGATAGAGCTTGAATTTAGGGCGTAACAGCTTTTGTAAACCATTACTTTTCTAGATGATTTCTCGAAAGTCATGACTCTCGCTGGCAAATCGACATCACCATCGAGTAGGAGAACACTTCCCCTACCTGATGGATATGTTGCCTTGATTTCCCAAAAATCAACGACAAAAGTGATTGTTAAAAAGTTGTTACGCCCTTATTCCAGCTCTATCTAGAATTATCGAAAATCCCTCTGTTGTTGATCGTTCGATTTTCGAGAAGGTGTTTGGCAAAATTGATTCCTGGTCTGTCAGATATAAGTCTGGTACAATAGCTGCAGGTTTCCTGATGAATGTGGGCGTCTTAGTGGAATACCTGTATAATGAGAGAGAGAAGGATTAGTATTTTCCATTTAATTCCACTACTTTATTTGCTTATCCTTGACAGATACGCGTATTCTAATCTACAATGTGCAGACTTCTTCAGTGTCTTGTACTAATACTCGACTGAAGAAAAACATCGCATTTACCGAATATATATTAACACAGGTACATTTTCACATAGAAACTAGGTAAACTTAAATTTAATTTTCTATAGGAACAGGTACTCCGCTGCTTACTCGTTGATGTGTCCTAGGTAGTAACTTGAAAAGCCATGTGTGTCCGTTTCCTTGATCCCTGTTGAGTAAAGTTGAATTACGTTGTTTGTTGATCTCGAGGCTTTCTGCAACATCCAATTTCCATGGTGTAGATACGGTTCGTAAAATCGTGATGTCCTCCGTCGATAGTTGGTGGTCCTCTGTGAAGATGTGTTCTGCAACCTTTGATTTGAAATCGTATGTTAGGCCTTTTTCCTCTTGCTTTTTGGCTTTATTAACCTCCGCTATATGTTCTTTAAATCTAGTTGCTACAGTTCTCTTGGTTTGTCCTATATATAAGTTGTTACAATGATTACAGCTTATTTTATATACACCTGCTTTACCTAAAACATTAACTGGGTCTTTAGTGGATCCTAACAATGATTTCAACTGGTTATGTCTACTGGTGAAAACTAAATCTAATCCGAATTGTTTTAACTGTGGTCGTAGCTTGCAAGTAATATCTTGATCAAATGGAACGGACACTCGTTTCAATGGTTCAGGTGCTGCGGTGAGGGTTGTAAATAATTTTCTTTGTAGAATTCTCGCTTTTTTATTGATGATTGCCTGGATTGTGGTCTCCTTGTATCCGTTGAGTCTTGTGTTTCGAAGATGTACTGTAATTCCTTAACCTTTCCTGTATCGCTGAGTGGAAGAGTCTGCATTCGATGAATCATGTGGTGGAAGGCGGCCATTTTCTGCTGGAACGGATGGTTGGAAGTATAGGGGATAACTCTTTTGGTGCTTGTTGGTTTCCTGTAAATTTCGTATTCAAGCGAGGAAGATGATGACGATTCCCTGATGACTAGAAGATCGAGAAATGCGAGTTTCCCGTCTTTTTCTACCTCGTGAGTGAATTTGATATCCTTGTGAATTCTGTTATATCGTCAACAAACCTCCACCAACGGTTTGGTAATAGTCCTTTCTGCTTCAGGATTGTCTCCAAGTTGGCCATGAACAGTTCACACAAGAAGGGGGATAGGGGGTTTCCCATTTGGGCACCTTTCGTCTGCTTGTAGAAGTTACCTCGGAAAGAGAAGTAGTTCTCTTCCATGCAAAGGCGGGTCAGCTTAAGGTACGTCCGAACCTTGTTTCTCCATGCTGCATCCTCTCGTTGTGTTAATAGCCAGTCCTCGAGATGGTTGATTGCTTCCTTGACCGGTACGCTGGGAAAAAGAGCTGTGACGTCGAAAGATACCATAATCTCGTCCTCGTTGATGTCTCCTGAAGATTGTAGTTGGTGGGCGAACTCCTGGGTGTTACTAACTGCTTTACTCTGGAACTGATTCGGCATACTCTGGAACTCTTTGACTAGCCACTTCGCTAGTTTGTGGGTGGGGGAACCAACTGCAGACAAGATCTCTCGCATTTCATTTCCTGGTTTGTGGACTTTGGGGAGACCTTTGATCCTGGGTAGAATGAGATTGGGTTCCCGTAAACGACCTGCTCCATCTCCTAATATCGGTTTGCACTCCTTCAGTGCTTTTTCCACGCGTTTCACTATGTTCTGTAAGGGGTCTACTCGAAGTTGTCTATACGGTCCGTTGTTTATCTTCTCTGTCATCTGATTATCGTAATCGTCCTTGTCCATGATAACGACCGCGTTTCCCTTGTCTGCCTTCACGTAGTATACTATACTATATCAAATTTAAGTGAAAGTTCACACAGCCTAAAAACTTCTGGACCCGTTAATATTTAAACATTTTGATATTTAAATGTTTCAAAAAAATCGATCCATCTCACTTTTCATCACGGTCAGGTCGTGTCAATCTTATTTGGCATTGAACTTTCAATGGAAAATCGAACAATATTGAATGCAGTAGTTTTGAACTTGAAATCACATTTAGTTTGCTATAGCTATGCATGTTCCGTGTAGGCATTTGAATTAACACATCAACCCTGTTTGGCAAAACTTTCCCCATACATCCACCCACACGAAGGAATGCAAAATATGCCTGTATCCCGTCGATGTGCATTTCCGCCACTGCATATCAAGTTTAAGGTAACACCTTTCACAAACAGAAGCAGAAAGTCCTGCCTGTCTGCCTTGGTGTTTCTGTATCAACCGAAATGAATCGTACCTATGCACTTTTTTTTTTGTTTTTGGGGGGTGGTAAGCGACAAAGCGCGACCCCAACCGTGTATGACTGAGTTGCAATCACGCAAACCGCGACCAAACAGCAGAAGCAGCATAAGAGTCAAATTTTGATGTGTTTATATGATCGTGGGAACAAATATGTGAACGCCGTTGTATTCTGCCGTTAGCGTGCGTGGTTTACCACCCTTGTTGGTCATGTGGTTTTTGCTAGCATGTCAGTCCATTGATTGAAAGTCAAGTCATAACATCACCTTTCTTCATATATGGTAGATTTGTCGTAGTATGCAAAATTGTAATTTGGGTTTATATCTACATTTATTTTCAGTTACACTGGCTACTGCCCTCAGTTGATGTACCGGATCGGCAATACCTACTCATCGCTATCACATAAGCTGCTAATTGATCCAACGGTTGCCCATGCGGAGAAGCTCATTCTGGCCGATCGGTCCACGGATGAGTATCAGGTTACAATCGATTCGAATGTTCACAAGGATTCGGTTCTAATTGTAATCTTTCTTTTTTTTTCAAGGTTAATCGTCCGACCATCAAGGAGATAGATCCCACCGGAGTGATCGTCCCGCGACATGAGGATGAAGACGTTCGGGATTCCATCTACCACAAACCGTTGATGCCCGGCTATGAGGGATACATTCCGCGAACGCAGAGCAAGTACGGACGGCGGTATGCCGTGGTGACAAGCGAAGGTTTGAGTGAATTCGAACGCGAATGCCACAGGAACAGGGCCCAGATGAAGAAGCTTCGACACCGGACAGCACAGCCGATCTCGACGATTTCCGAGTACAGTTTGGGTGATCGGATGAAGGTACATATGCTAAACGATAGAAATCCTGGCCAATGTTGAATATACATATTCGGTTTTCTTATGTGCACAGTTCCACAAAAGCGACTATCGCTTCCCGCTGGAATCCACCCGACCGGAAGCACCGGGAGTCTGCAAGGAGGTACCGTTTGAAAATTTGCCGCCGTTGCCAAGTCTACCCTATTCCCGCCAAACGTCACCATATTTCATGCAGAACGGAAACGAGGACAAGTACTTCAAATTAGGTAAACGTTCTTACTGATCCTTAATTAGTTCGCTACGCCTTGTCGCATTGGTTGTCAAGATGATAATGGATGTATAGAAATGTTCCCACGCTAGAATAATGATGTTGCAAATTTTACCTTCACGCCTGCCAAAGTTAACGTTGTTAGTCGTACTGTTTGAACTACCAGAGAAAGTGAGAGTCGCTAGTAGCTTATTAATGAAATAAACACACAAATTGAACCGAAGAAAAGGGACAGCTGTTTTTGTTGTTCCACTACTAATAAGAGTTTCATTTCTGGGTTAACGTAGGAGCTCACTTTCGATATGTCGAACGGCATTTTCGTTTAGTTTTTCGGGGTCGATGCAATTGTTTGATCGATACGCAATTCGCCCGAACAGTATCATTCCGATATTGGACTGCCAGTCCCATCATCGGTTTCGATTCCGAATTCCTTGTTCCATTATCAGCTGTGTCATGTCCTACGCTACACGTGTGTTTCGTTCAGAAGAATCGTTGGGAAATTAAGCTTACTAATGGAATGTTGTCTCGTCGTAGGTTATACCGGTCACAAGCCGTTCCTGTGGCCACGGTTTGGTGAGCCGAATGTGTCCGTGACGAAGAAGTCGTTGTGTGATTTCACCAACAGTTACCAGCACAGACGGAGCACCGAGTGGGTACCGATTGCACCGGCTGGAACTGGGACTTGCCAACCGAGTGCGACGGTTAATGAGATCTACATGAAGAATATTGGGTTGGTGCCGAGTTACAAAGGTCACGTTCCCGGTGCCATGTTCAGGTGAGTTGATCGGTTTAATGTAACAACCACAAGCTGCAAATTCTGCTGTGTATGGATTTGTTGTCGATTTTCCGTTGGTGACATCAAGGTAGGGGAACTAGAGGCAAGAAGGTCACCCGGGGCAAGAGTGCCATCCTCAATATATTTTGAAAATGAAATCATTTCAATCCTATCTTACGATGAACCTAAGCACGGTATTCCTATGAAGCATTCTAAAAAGTTATGTCCGAATCAAAGTCGTAAAAAAAATGCAAAAAATCATTTTGTGTTGATGCATTGAAAAGCTAATTTTTTATACGAATAATGCATCATAAAATAAGGGTTTCGAAATTTCCAATTTATTTTTTTTTCACAATTTCTGCATTGAGACGTCACTATTGATGGTTGATTGAAACATTAGTAACAATAAATTATTAAATATTTTCTTTAATTAATCAAAAATTATATTCCTAAAAATAAACTTTATACGGGGCAAGAGTGCCACCCCTACATTTATGTATTAAATTGTACAAAACTGTTCAGAAATTAGCACAATTGGGCATTTATGTCTTTGTGAAATTTTGGAAAACAAACTGTATAAAATAGTATCATAAATAGTTTCCATTTGAATTCTTTGACGCACATGGTTTATATGTTTTGGATAAAAACAAATATCGTTAAGTTAATATTTTAGTGGAATGAACAATAAAAGCAGTTGCTCTCCTACCTAAGAATAGTAATTTGTTGTTTAGAAATGAACATTTATCAGTTTCACTTCATTTTAGACATATGGTCTTTTTGCCCCATATGAGTGGCCCTCTTGCCCCGTAGCATTTTTTAGAGCAGGTACGACATGACATTTTGAAAAAATCATTAACATTTTTTGATGGGGTTTAATTCTAATTCCAATGATATTACATGGAGACAAGGTTATAAACTTACAATTCGGTTCGCAAACTCATATAAATATTCACGGAATCGCATATTAAAACGCGCTATCGTTAGGGTGACCTTCTTGCCCCTAGTTCCCCTACTCAAGTTATCCATTTTAATCTACACAGCGTAATCGATTGTATCCAGATTGTCCCTTCCTTCAATGTCATCTCAAAATTTGAGCTCATTTGATTGCACATTAAACATGTACCGGTCTTCTGAAATGTACATGGCTATGCCACTTTTTTCAAATAATCGTCAAGAAAATTTAAATTTACCTATTAATTAAGAAGCTGGCACGCCTCAGCTGCTGCTTATGAAGGCCTTGCAGCGTATACACAGGATAATTATTAAACTAGGTACCAATCGTGATATTGATGATGCACATAAACACTATAGTCGCTATATTCATAGTCTGGCGGATAGAATTTCGATCTATAAAAAAGCGGAACCAATTCTATATATTGTAGACCAACAATTAAAAAGGTCCTATCAACTTTTATAAAACAAACGTTGATTATTCTTTCCTCGACAATCGAACGCAAATTACCGGCATCATCGGATAGAGGAATCTTTCCCCAACCCAAAGATAGTGTTAGTTTGCGTAGACAAGCCTTGAATGACGAGAAAACGGTTTCCGAAGTTTTGTTCGAAATAGATGATGTGCTCTTTTCTGTTGTTGGTCGTGATTTGTTCGATTGGTTCCGCTATTTGACAGCTCAATTGGTTCCCGAGATTTTATCCGCCAGACTATGAATATAGCGACTATAATAAACACTGGTTTTGTCTGAATCCGATGACTTACCCACAGGGATGGATCGCTCTTTGGAGCATCGTTCAATGCTTTTCAATATAGAAAGCTAACGTTAAGTTTAATCAATCTTAACTCTTTCCCACTCATGGTTACTCTGGAGCACCATGCCTTATTTGACATTGTGAGCTATAACTATCTGAGATTACAACCGATTTTTGTAAAAATATTATAACATAGTCTGTGCTACAGTCTAAATCCGCTGGTTAAGCTTTTAACACTTGGGCTGCTTTTAAGTTGGGCCTCCGCTGGTTGGGCCATGACCAAGGGGTAAGTCACTCAGCACAGTGTGCCGAAAGTAGATTCGGCACAGCTTGGGAACATCCATCGGCATACCTTCGGCACAATCTCGTAGGCATTGGATTGTTCATTAAATAAAATGGGAGCACTGCTGGACTGCTGTTATTGAAGTTGTTCACAACATTACGTGCTATTTGACTGTGTATTTCAGAAGCATACTGTAATTCAATATTCTAGAGGAACTCAGGCCAGCAATTCGCTTCTCGGTTCACATTTGAATTCTAAATGTAGGCTTCCGAGGGCTGTCGATTGCCATCGATGCCGGTCACAAGTCTTTCAGCTACTACGCAAATGGAGTGTACTACGAACCGGAATGCAAGAACAATTTGGATGAATTGGATCATGCAGTGGTGGCAGTTGTATACGGAAAACTCAAAGGAGAAGATTCCTGGCTAATCAAGAACTCCTGGTCCAACTACTGGGACAACGATGGATATGCTTTGATGGCGGTGAAGGGTAACAACTGTGGCCTTACCACCGATGCGACGTATGTAAATTTGAAGTGCGATTTTGGTTTAAATTTGAGTTGTTTTATTTTCGGATACGTGTCATCTTATACGAGATGAAATAAATAGTTTTCAATTTTTTTAATAAAAATAAAAGTTAATTAGCTTGAGTGGAAGCAATCAAAATTCCGTGTCATTGGGCCGTGAAGAGTAGTCGGTCAATTGGTCGGCTACCAAACCAAACTCATTTGAACAATACCGAACTAATAATAATAACTTACAATTTTTAAACTGAATTTCACTTGTTCAGGTACTACGATCGAATTCTCCCGGAACTCCAACCCGATGGTAAAATCAAACGTCTTAGTTTGAGATCCTTCTTCTTGGCATAAACCATTCCGACGTCGGAAATCTCCGAGAGCTTCTTGCGCGGAATTTTCACCTTTAGCAGTTCCTCTTCCAGATTGAGCAGTAAACTGTAGTGCTTCTGAATCGTTTCCGTCGGATTGACCAGCAACGTTCAGACGACATTGGAGTAGTTGGACTTGTAACGCGCACCCAGAGCACAGATGATAGATCCAAAGTGCAGATAATTCTTGTCGGTGAATGCACTGAACTTCAAGCTGTAATTGCCACCTGACTGGATAATCGCCGGGTAGCACGTCCAACTAGTTGGTATCCATACCGGAGACGTATCTTTTGTCCGTCAGAGCCTGCTCGACACCCTCCGACAGTTTGGCATGTTTTACTTTCTTATCAGCATCCATAATCTCCATGACGTGATACTTGAGGTACTTGAATACATCTACCGTCTGATGGTTTTCCTTGGAGAAGACGCCCAACGTGTTGCCATCCTTGGATCCCTTAATCGCCTCCAGCAGCTTTTCAAAATTGGCCTTGTTTTTGTCGTTCTTTTCCCGAACCAACAGCTTCGCCGGCGTCCTTCTCGATCTGCTTCAGGAAATCGACCTTCCTCTTGCTGGTCAGGAAAAAGATTGACTTTTCGCACAGCACCGTAATCGTATAGATCAGCTCGTATCCCAGCAGCCAGGTCTTCAACGAACGAGGTTGCTTTGCTGTAGATGGTTTCCTCGTCTACGCTGACCACCGTCAGAATGCAATCCACCTTCTGCAGCGAATCATCATGGGAAAACTCTGGTTGCTCCAGCTGGCGTAGAGGCGTTTTATTCGTCGGTAGAAGAAATCCTTATCGAGCACTATATTCGACATTTTTGGGCCCGTTGCGATTGCAAACCTAAACTTTCAAGCTGTCAGAAATACTGGGTTGCCAAATATACCATACTATTTTTTGAAAAATCAGCTTGCTCTATGCCCGGCACTGCCGGCACAATCGGCAAACCAGCAGTACACTTGCGGCACACTGAGAAAAATTTGACCCAAGATTGGTGTGAGGAGTGACCTACCCCTTGGCCATGACCCAATTAAAAATCAACTGGATGTTAAAATCTCGTGTCAAATTACATTTGACAATCAAACATCAACTTGGACCAGTTAGGTCCGTGCCTCAAATGGGAAATACCAATTCTTTCAAAGGGTGAGCATATGCGTTTTGGACTGTGCATTAAATGTAATGATTGTAAACATTTGGTATTATTTCGTAACATTTGAGTATCATTTGAAATTTTCGAAAAAATCAAAAACATAATGTTTTGCTTTTTCCACTCAGTTTCCAAAAACGTACTTCAATCCGCTGTGATGGATTCTGTTTTTTGGTTAAATCTACTCAACCACAACAAAGGATGTGCACATTCCCAACACATTTTAGCTTTCTCAACTGTCCCAACTAACGAATCCAATTAAAATAGATCGATTGATGCTATTATTCTCCCGATCAAACTACACAACTTTCGCACTTTAGACTGGACAATTGGACTTAACATGGAGTAAATGACATCATTCCTAAAAAAAATGGACTTAACGATAGCTTTCTATATTAAAAAGTATTGAACAATGCTCCACAGAGCGATCCATCGCTGCGTTACTCACATAGAAAACGACATTGAAAAGTGCATTAAGGAGTCATCCACAAATTGTGTAAGGGATTTTGAGTGATTATAATACCTCACCTCCCTCCCCTTTGTAAGACACTGTGCGATTTTCAGTTAACATCCCCCTAAAATCTTAGTACATTTCAAAATTAAAAAAAATCTAACTATTAAATCTCATGTAAGAAACTATCTATCTCTTCCTCTATTGTAAGAAACTGTAAGGAATTGTGCCCTGAAACTAATCAGAATTATTCTTATTGTTTGCTTTCAGGTTTGGTACAACCTTCGGAAACGATAGCAAAGATGCAAAAAGATGCCTAAAGAAATGTTACGACGATTAAAATTAGTTGATTTCGAATTAAATTACGATGAATAAACTTGTACCTACATGGATTTTCGGATGAAGGAAGTATTTTTTTTTGTAGACTACAGGTTGCAGCCTTTTTGGGGCTCATTTGTCAAGGCCTGCTCTATCCAATAAATCCACTACTCGAACGCAAGAAGAGATAACCAATGGTGGTCGAATGGGCACTGCTAACACATTTGAGTAGGGACCTATTGGGAAAGTATGTTAATATAACGATTGTGTGAACTTACCTATGAATTCTGGGCTTACTTGTGTTGCTGAATCATCAGCGGTTGACTGGGGATGCTTTGTGGGTTTGTTATTGCTGAATCATCTGTTGGTTGGGGATGCTTTGTGGGTTGTCATTGTCGTTGCCTCGGACCGACCTCGTCATCAGAATCGGTTCCTCTCATGATGGGGTCCTCATCACTAAATCAGAGAAAGTCTGATGGAACTAGGTCTTCTGAATCACTCTCCCAGTCCGAGTCGCTGCTTGTCTCAAATTCCGACTCCACCATGCTACTATACAGGTTTTTAGTGGTCTGTTTGAATATTAACTGGATTATTTATATATTGTTATTGTTATTGTGCCATGCTGGAGGAGGTATTGAGCCTGGTCGCCAGTGTAATGTTGATGACCAATTATACACCTATTATGCAGCAATCAAATAGATAAAGATGAGATGGCTCTTAGATAATGACTTATGCTAGTCGATTGAAATCAGCCGAATACTAAATAAGGGTTAAGTTGATCCTTAACGTAGAAGCGTAGATGCATGCATGGGTGAAGGATAAGAGAAAGGAGAGGCAAAGGTGTTGAAATGCAGAATTAGATGTCGTCGAGATTGAATGCGTATGTTTAAATATCGTTGATCCAGGTACCTATCGTATAAATTTGCATATCATTTAGTTATAATTATTGTCAACAATACTTCCCTGGGCTTTGGCAAAACCTTGAGGTAGTTTAATTAGGCTACCAGGTCCCAGGGCTGATCTGGATCTTTACCACATTGGAAAGATGCACACTAGTGTTGCCAGATCAGTGTTGATGCTTACCAAAAGTGCATTTGAACCCGCTTATAAAGCATATTAACAGATTAATCATCACTGTACATTGTTCATTGCTCTGTACTAATAATAAATGATTAAGCATTTGATATTTTAGTAGGAATGCTGGATTTAGTCACAGTAGAAATCATCTGTGTTAGGACCTTCGAGAAAACTAACAACACGAAGTCTGGAAATGGCAATGTTTCATTCAAAACGTCAAGTATTTCAAGAATATCGGGTGAGACCAATCTAATTGTATTTAATCTTATTTTTGTGTAGTAGGATATTCAATTGAACCGCTCCGGGTTATTATAATGCTGTATGATCTTTTAAGCATTTTTCTTAAATTTTGAGATACAAGGGTTACGTTTACTTTCCAACTTTTACTAATACTACTGTTACTCCGACTATCCCCTACTTGAAACACTATTCCTCCCTATCCGACATCTTAAGCAGGATTCAATTTATCTCAGTGATTATTATGCTGTGGTGCCAAATCTTTACCTCTACTCTTGTGCTGTATGGACAGTGATGTTTTACTGGAGACCTGGCCCTATGACCCCCTTCTGTGCTTGAAAATGAAAATGAAAATGAAAATGAATTATTGTCAACAATACTTACATTTCGATGAATATGGTACCGTAAAACGGGTTATCTTTGATAATGCGGGTACCTTTGATAGTATAATGTAAAGATTAAATTTACTCGCTACGCTTTTTACAAATTAGAAACATTGGTTCCATATTGTAGCTTAAGGTATTTCCGTTGATATCGTATATAGTTTTTATATAGTATGTGTTACATATTTTACAAACATATTAAAAAACAATTTTCATGTTTTTCGCCGACTTTGAAGCATCATTAACAATACACTTGTTCCGAGAAGGGGCTTCTGCATCTTTAGGTTCGCCTACCACCCGGAATGAACGCTCGGTGCATAGCCGGGTAAAGCAGGTGCATAAGAACGCCTATCAATGGTTGTGGGGTTCTGCCCTGACCGGCGATTTGCGACCTCTGTGCACCTGAACTCCGATTCTTACCTCCACGCGCTGCCCGGTGGGGTTGCTGGCGGTGATATTTGCCGTCAGTAATGCGAACAAGAACGGGGGATCATCGTTGTCACTAATGCACTATTGTTTATAAGTCGCTAGTGTCGGTGATGACGATGAAAGAGCAAATAGGTTATAGCCAACTCTAAGTAGCCCGTGATTATCGCTACCTGGGGATGCTAATCAGCTGGGTGCTGGTTGCGACTTGGCCGTCCTGAATGAACTTTTTCCACCTCTTCAAGGTGGTTCGTTTAAAAGGACGTTAATAAATGGAAGCACAGCTCGGTGCATAATAGATTTGATATGATTAGTAATATCAAATAGTGTTACATGCAAACGAAAAAGATATACAACCAGGATTAGTTCTCCAAAGTAATAGTTGCATCTGAATACCCAACTAACCATATCTCAGTTACATTGTCTCACTCTGAATCCACATTCAAAGCTACTTTGTGATTATATGGTTACTTTGGTACTCACATGAAATGTTGTGCAAGTACCACAAGTTCAACAACGTCCAACTATGGACAACTCAATGTTAATACCATTTACTCTTTGAATCAGCGTACACCAACATGATAATCTTCTAAGAAACACCTAAGAATGTATAGAGATAAAGCTTAAAATACAGTTTTAACTGATGGTACTTTATAAACATCAAACTGTCCGTGTGCCAACACACGGCATCTGCACGGTAATGTGGGCCGTCAGAATGGTTCATCGGCTGCGAAGTGAAGTGCTTCTCAAACTGAAGCGATACATTTCTCAATTTTTCAACGTTATCCTAACGTTAACCTAATATTATCACCCATATGCCCGTCCACGCCCGAAACCCATCCACCACACAACATCAAATAAAAATGTTTCTGTATGGCAAACACGCTCAGACAGAAACGAGAATATGGGTGTATATCTTCACTATAACAACTACGGGTAATCAAAAGGACTTACATTTTACTCAGGCACTTTTGAGCAAACTGCAATCACTTTCTCATACTCGAAATGTGCCATGACCAAATTGGCACAACGACGCCCTATACGCCATCTGACCAAAGCGCAGAGGGATTTTCGGATGAAGGAAGTTGTATCTTAATTTATCATCACGAAAAATGATATGAATTTAATTCAAAATTTCTAGACAAATAACGTAATGTAAAAAAACACGAACCCCATACGCCAGCGTGTTGAAATTTGAGCCATAGCCAATAACCAATAATAAACTATACATTTGATTACTTACCAAATACGACGCCATACGCAACCAATTACATGCCTCACTTCCCGTCGGCTATTCTCAACATCTCGTCCACGTGGACAATCTTTTCCCGTGGCTTGCCCTTCGCTTGCCCCCTACGGCATTCCTCGGCATCGATCGCATTCCAACCGTCCCAGGTGACCACTCGTTTTCCGCTCAAATCCAACCCCGGCTTGGCTTCCTTGACTCGAATGACATCGTTTTTGAAATCCCTACAGATCAAATCCGCCACTCCGAACGAATTGTTCATCGTCGTCAATATAACTCCCGTTGGACCCGTTGCCAACCAACCCGAGGCGTACAGTCCGTTCTCGTACTTGTCCTCGATATCGTCGATCGTTTGATCACTTCCGGTGAGATTTTTCTTCAGAACACGACCCGCCGCATTCCAGACGCATCCTTTGCGTTCGTCAAAGTTTAAGGTACCGTCCATGTTGACCGATTTGTAGCCAATACTGCGACATACTAGATCCGTAGGGATAACTTCCTTTTCGTCGGTTGGGACGGCTCTATTGTCGACTAATTGGTTGACGACGTATTCAATCGCTTCGACGCGGTTCGTTCCAATGAAATTCACTGGGGAACGGAAAAATATCGGTTGAAATTTGTTGCTGCAGGTCGAATCCTGCTCCTGGTTGGTTTGTTCCGAAAGGCTTTTTAGCATCAGTTCTGTGATTCGCTTACGAGGTCGCGGTAAGCTTGGCAGAACTTCTTCTACATCTGCAACATAAAAAATCAGACATTTCAGTCAGCAAAGCGTGCTATCGAATTAGGTAGACCGAGAACGAACCTTGAAGGTCTTTTGACCGCCATGTCGTCGCACTGTTAGACAGTTTGAGCATTTCTCGCAGCTCTTTAATGGTGAAAGCAGCCTGTAGGGGACCACGTCGGCCCACAAGCAGAACCTTCTTGATATTGCTTCGCGAGAGGGCCTCCAGAGCGTATTCGGTAATATCGGTTTTCTGCGACAAGTTATCAAATAATTGAACTTGATGATTTGATAAACTTACAAGTTCAAACAAACCTTCAGCAGATCTGCACCGGAAAGTACTATTCGAGCTACATCAATTGCCACGTTGCCCTGACCTAGCAGAGTTAACGTGCTGCCGCTGAGATCCGGATTCAAACGTTCAAACCCAGGAAGACCATTGTACCAGGCAACGAATTCACGAGCCGACAGGACATTCGTCAGTGTTTCGTTTGGAATGTTTAGTTTCCTATCTTTATCCGCCCCGTATGTCTGTGACGAGTAGATTTTAAGATAAAAGTGATCACCATTTGCCTAATAGAGCCTTACCAACAGAACAGCATGATACCTTTCCCTGAGTTCATCCAGCGTAAAATCACTTCCCAAACTCAGATTACCCAGGAAACGAACCCTAGGATTTTGCGCTGTTTTTGTAAAAGTATTGATTACATTCTTCACCTCCGGATGATCAGGTGCTACGCCGAATCTACGGTATGAATCATTATCATTTCTATTAATAACGATAGCAAAAATACATACCTCACTAGCCCGAACGGAACCGGCAGCTTTTCGATGATATCAACTTGGGAGTTTTCCAAGTGTTTTAAAATATACTGGGCCGCATAGAATCCGGCCGGTCCTGCACCCACAATGCATATCCGTTTCGGAGTGGCACCTGGTGAGCTGGCAAACCTGCGTACTCCTTCGCGCCCTCTTTGTAAAAGTCTTAATAATCCAGCATTGCACAACATCCTAGCACTGGGTATCCTACTTATTGTCCTATCAATCACTTTTGAGGTAGATCTTTTTTGGAATACGCCTTATGGTTGGAAATATCCTGCTTTTGAATTACAAAAACAGATTTTTCTCAGCCAAGAATCGTTATCAGCTTTTCGCAATGATTTTATTTACATTGTGTACTCGCGGAATGCACTTTCTCTTGATCTGTCATGCGGGTAGGCAAGCGTCAATGAGGTACAGAGAGAGGTGGCGCAGATCGTGAAATAGGGTTGTATTAGTAAACCAAAAAATCAACGTAAACGCAAGTAGTGACGTCACTACTTGCGTGTACTTGCGTGTATCGTACAGTGGTTGTGTGAGTGATTGCTTCACCTCGGTAATCCAGCTCATTGGGCAAGCGTAACGTCATCAAGCGTTACTTTGATGTTCTAACAAATTTTAGGGTATTGGGCTGTATGGTCGAAAAAGATTGCAACATCCCCGAGAAAAATAAAAATGGAAAAAACATCGAAATTACAATGAAGTTCACTGTAGATTCCACGGGGGCAACAATCGAGCATTTCGTCGTTGCTTACATCAATGTGATGAATATAGGGGTTAGGATGAATGCAACCGACTCTCGAACAGACTACTCTTTCTAGCATTCAGCGCTGTGATGCAAGTGTGAAAGAGTAAGCTGTTTTGTTCTGTCGTACCTCCTTCAGATTTATCACTGTCAGTATGCTCAAAAGTGTCCAATTGTCTAAAAATGTGAAAATCATGTGAGCTACAGTGTATCTATAAATGGTTGACAGGGATTGAGTGCAAGATTCTCCATAGCATAAAAATGTATTAAGAAATTAACAAAAACATTTCTAGATCAACATTTGTAATAGGCGGAACAACCAATCTTATACAATGGCTTTAAACGCAATTTTCTTGAAAATCAAAACACACCCAAGCAATCTAACTCTAGCATCTGATATAGCAAACTCCAAATATGTGCTAGTTTGAGTGGGCATCCGGTGTATTTTTTAGTTACTGTGGCGCCATCATTTGTGATTAGCCCTGGTCCCATTTAAATTGCTCATTATTTATGAACGGCTCTTATTGACAGTGGATGCCAAATGACGCTTCAGATTCATCTAGTGGTGACCGATTTTTATTCGAATAATCAATTAATCGAATAACTTATCGACCTAGAACTTCTCCGGACTAGAAGAGACACAAGCAGAGTCCTAACCGTGGCCAATATCCTGCAAGGAAGAACAGATTGCGAGGCTATCCTGAAGCAAATTGACCTGAATGTTCAACCCCGACCGCTTCGTAACTACCTTATGCTAAGCCTGCCTCTACAGCATACGCTGTGATTTGCGGACTACAGAGAGTATTCAACAGAGTTGCTTCTGTCTTCGACTTTCATCTCTCCCGTGATGCGCTTCGTCCAAAGTTTTCTTTTGTTTTTCGCCGGCAGAAGTATCTGACTATAAGATGTTTTTTTATGGTATGACCACACACTTAGAATCACCGACTTCGGTAATTCATTTACCGAATTCTCAACAGAACACTACCGAAAAATCTGTAAACTGGATCAGCAAAATTAGCTGTCAAATTTACCGAACGATCGGTAACGTTTACCGATGTGCATTGCTTGATTTGTAGTCGAATTTACCGGAGAACTGTAATTTTGAGGACGATTTGTAAATCGAAAATTACCGAGAGATCTGTAATTTTTTTAAGAAGGTAACCGACTCAACTATAATTTTCTTTAATATTGTTTCAAGGTGGTGGTCAATGCAATGCATGTAAAAATTTGGCTGCAGTCGTGATCAATTTGTTAGTGTTGCAAATTGCTCCACCAATGAACAAAAACAATTTTTGTCAGAAGGATTCGGCGCTACACTGAAAACAGGGAAGCATTGGATGAAGATTCCAAATGCTGTTTTCAGATCGTCGCCAACGGGAATGGAACTTGAACCGACAGAAAAAAACAAGCAACAACATCGGCTATCTGTAATCGGTATTTATTTAGATAACGAAAATTAATTACTTACGGAAAATATCTACGATTCGCTCATCTTGGTGTTGCATAACAGCCTCCATAATTTCACCATTTTATTTTTCACAAACACGAACGTTTTCAAAGTCGATCGAAAATCACAATATGGTGGATTTGACGTTTACCGAGACCGTTACCGAACTCAGTTATGGGACGCTTTGTTTACCGAAAACAATGTATGTATGTAAAACAACAATAAACAATAAACCGCAATAAACAATAACGAACCCTGATGAATGTGGGCGTCTTAGTGGAATACCTGTATAATGAGAGAGAGAAGGATTAGTATTTTCCATTTAATTCCACTACTTTATTTGCTTCTGTAGACGAAATACGCGTATCTGTCAAGGATAAGCAAATAAAGTAGTGGAATTAAATGGAAAATACTAATCCTTCTCTCTCTCTCATTATAATAACGAACCGAAAAATCAATTATGTCAAGTTAGCATTAACTTCTTCAGATGATTATCATCCATCGATTCAAACATGTTCTTCACTCTCATTTTTGGAAAAAATACAGCACAGTGAACAAAAACAATTGGACATCTCTATTTTCTGGTGTGATTGTTTAAAATGCTTTCAATTACGTCTATTTCGGAAGAGGAGATTTCAGACAATTTTGACGAAAGAGATTCCAGGCAATAGTTTACATAAAATTTCAACGGAGTTTGCTGACGTTCCCAACGGATGATGTTCCAGACGATTTCGGTGGAGATTTCAGATGCTGCAAACGAAATTGTCAATTTAGAAAATCCACCAAATAGAACACAGCCTTAATATATTTACATAATGTATAGTATTATTCATTTTTATGTAGACTCATCAAACGTGCGAAATCGCCAATAAAAGTGTGCTTTTACGTTGTATCGTCTTGGCGAACCAAGAAAAAAGTGCTCCCAAACCAAATCAATTTAACGTAAAACCGTAAAACTGCACTATATCAAGCATAACTTTTCAAAAGGACGTAAGTCACAAAAATAAACAAATCTATATTTTGCATCTAACCGAATATAAAATACATGCTTTTCCTACGAGTTAATGAAAAACAAGGTTTGAAATTGTAATACATTATGGAAAATATATATAATAAACGCCCTATGTAACGTTCTTTCATTGTTTTTAAAATGGTGTTGATACACCCTTTTATTGTAAACATGACTTAACTGTTAAAATTTGATGATAACACAAAAACTGCAGATACGCTCACAGTGAAGCGTCGTATGTGAAAAAACAAAGCAACCACTATCAATCTGCAAATGCGTCAAGTTTGTATGTTTGTTTTTGTATTTCCGAGAGCAAGATGTGTATTATTTCAAAAGTATTCTAATGAAATTGCACTTTAATCTTGACTTTAATATTGAACTTCACATACCAATCTGACCAGCGCTTTCTGAATACGAAAAACACAAAACGTTTAACATCTGACAGCAGATAATGCAGTGACCCTCTCATCTCCGCTTTTAACATCGATTATTTCGCAACTCTGGGTAGTTATGTAAATTAATCAACCAACCGACAATTCCTCAATGCTTTTCGAGCTGCCGACGTATCTTCACTGCAAAACAAAAACCGGTGTATCTGATTTGACGTATGTGAAAACTCTTCTGTCAAATAGACGAATCATGCAGGGTGTATGTAACAATCAAGGTGTGATACCGACGAATCAATCAGGGTGTATGTGAGTAGTATAAAAGTAAAAGGTGTATGATTTTGTTTTATCAGAAGTCTTGTCCGTGTTTGCAAAACTCGATATTTTTCTCAATTCTCTTAAACACAATCCCTTTATCCAACTAATAGCACAAACAGATTTAAAAAAATAGCATTAACTTTTGATTAGCATTTAATAATCTCATATAGACATTGCTACACACAAAAAACAAAAATTGTTTCTTTAAAAATTTTAACATTTCAAATTAAAAGTTTCTCGAATTTGGTAGTTTTAACTATGAATATTTTCAAAATGAATTGTTTTTCTTTGGTTTGAAAGTTTTTCTTTCATTATCGACATGTAATTTTAAAAGTTCATACTTTTAAAATAAAAATTGTACAACTGTCAAAATCACCTCTTGAAAAGCTCATTGTCATGGTCCAAAAATCCAATAGGGCATATAGTATGAGACACAAGAATCCAACCGCAGAAAATCAATCGTGCATCGTGCAGTTCCGGGAACCGATTCCGGTAATGGAGGCAATGAGAAAGAGTAAAGTTTTCGCAGAAGGTAAGATTGCAACTACTGTCTAGATAATCTGAGGGTGGTTTTGAAAAACAAGATGATTATTTTCCAGATCGCCAGCATATTGGGACGTTAGAGCACACTACAGAGATGCTTTCGGTGGCTATCAATAGCGTTTGCAATATATCGCTGGAGGGATTACAGATTCCGTTCTTTTCTATAGGACACTGGTTAGATTTAGTCGCACCAGGTTTTGCTGCTTATCGCCGGCCAGCTGTGAAAACAATATGCACTTTCGTTCGACCAACTCCACTGCATGTTGGAGCCCCGCGTCTGGGAGAAAACCTTCACTAAAGCCATCCGCCAAAGACAACATCCCTGATATCAACATCCTGATGTGAATGAAAAATAGACATATGAATATTTACAAAATACTAAATAAATAAATATAAATATTGGTTATTTCCCTTTTACATAAAAGCAATTAAATTAAAAATAATTCGTATTTGAGGTGAAAACTTATACTAATGCGGTGAAATAGCCTTCTTTTGAAGCAACACTTTTCCAACATCAATCTAAAAGTATTTGGTTTTTAGTTTGACAGTTCTACAATATGATTTGAAAGTTAAAACTTTTAAAATTAATAATATGCTAAACTTTTGTTTTGACAGTTGGTTGACTTTCATTTTGAAAGTTAGCTACTTTCTACCAAAAAGAACCAATGCAAACTTTTAATTCTATCAACGGTTCTTTTAATTTTATCAATGATTATTTTTTGTGTGTATCCAATGTTTCTAATTTCCTATCCAATGTGACATACGTCCTTTTGAAAAGTTATGCTTGAATATATTTAAATTGCAAAATCAACAACTTTTAAAATACCTTATTACGTCGGGTTTCTTTTTAAATAAAAGCAAAAATAACGTAATAAGGTATACAATTATTGTACTAAAACGCTCATCAATCAATTTATATTTTTTTATAAATGCATTCGTTCGTTCGGTTATATATTCTGGGTAATATAGTGTCGGTAAAACCTAAAGCCTTGCAGTAAAAGTTTGGGTGTGTGCCAAAAGCTGTTCCAATCGAACTGTCAAAATGCACTGCTTTATTGGATTGGAACAGCTTTTTCCAGTTTACTGGTGACAGTCGTTCATACCTGAAACACATACAACACGGAACCGAATTTTTTTCATTTAAATCAAAAATATAAATGTTTATTCTATAAACATATGAATAATTCAAAATAAATTAAAACCATGTTTGCAACAAAAATATATATGTTTGAATTAAAGTCATAAGCATGTTTATTTCAACAATATAGAATTTGGGTAAACGATTTTTAGCGTGCCCTGCATTTTTTTTTTCCTTCTTGTTTATATTCGGATAAAAAATTGCCCCAGCTTTGCCGATCAACTGAAAACGGCCCGCAACAAAACCGAAGTCATGGATCCGGAAACCCACCTAGGTAAGTGTCTTAACAAAGTTCCAGCTCGATAAAACTGGAGGAACCTCACAGTATCGACGTCACTCTGTCGTTTCTGATGCCGATCCCTGTATCATCCTCCTCCACAACTGACGTCGGAAGAAAAACGAAAATCCTAAATTGATTTTGAATCTATCCCGGATCCTCCAACATCGAACGTAGAAATAGGCCGGTATGTGGACCAGCGTTAGAAACGACAAAACGACGCTAATATCACAAAGTTTCACTGGTTTTACTGAACTGGAACTTCCGGACACTCACCCCGACGGGTCCCCGTATCCCGGACCAGGGCCCCAAAAGCTACAGCCCACCCTTAATCGCACCCGAAAAAGAGCAAGAGTTTAGATGCCTTGTCTGCAGATCGTTTTTTTTTTCACCTCTTTGCAATCCATTTTTTGCTTTATCCTACATTCAAATGCTAATATAATTTAAAATTAAGTATGTTTCTTTCAAACATAAGAAGCATGTTTAAAATAAACATATTTATTTTTGTTTGCATAGTTGTCAAACCAAACAAAAATATTCACGTTTATTTTGAACACGAATATTTTTAAAATAAACGAAACATTATTTTTATTTTAAACATTAATATCACATGACTTCAAACATGGAATACGTTTTAAATAAACCTTGTTTATTTTTGTGGCCAGAACAAACTGAGTTTACGTTAAAATTTACCTCAAATATTTTTGTTTCAACGATAAATTTTTCTGCGTGAAACAGACATAAAACAATTAATATTTCTCACTCTAAAACATCGTAGCAAAAGCACTACCACCATCTGTTGAGCACACTGTGATGGGCAGTATGCTGAAGAGATGGCGGTAGTGTGTAAACGTCAAATGCAAGAGAATTGACTATGAGCGCCACAGGTGGTGGTCCTATCAACTAAAATCATTTCAATTGATCGTTAAATGCGTATTCGACGAAAAACTTGCGATTTTTATGTCTGTTTAGCTGTGCCTTATACCCCGGACAGACTATGGCTTATATCATGTAATATAGGCTGGCTTGCAATTAGCACTCATATATAGGATTTCCAGTGAAAACTAGATGTATGAGTGCTCATTGCAAGCCAGCCTATATTACATGATATAAGCCATAGTCTGTCCGGGGTATTAAGTGCAGATTAGGAGCCCTGAGTGACACAAACCACGTAAAAAAACGTGTAAACGTGTATTGCAGAGTGATTAAGTGATCTTAACCTTTAGCGTATGGAAGTTTTCAGTTGAATCGGATTACTCATAAAAAATAGTGTTTTTTATGCAAAATCCGTTTCGGAAACGGGAATACCGATAGGGCGAACGGGACCCATTTATTGTACCGACAGAAAGTCTAGCGGCACATCTTCACCTTTGTAACGCCTGTTATCTGTGTTTTCATTCATGCATTTTTCGTTTCCAATTGGACGTTAACGGACGAAGCTTGACATTCGACTCGACGAGGTGTCATTAATGAATGAATGATTCACAGCCACTGCTGAGTTTGATTTGAAGTTCAGGTGCATCGTACAAATGCTAAAATTTACCTCCTTAGTTTTTTAGTCTTTTGTCGCACGATTATTCGTACAAAAATAGTTAAATTTATGTGTAAGTTATAACTGCCATGAACTTCAATCTAGTAGTGATATTGTTAGCGGCATTCGGCTGTGGTAAGTAGTGAAAATTCCTCGCTTGAAATTTACTTTTCTTGAGACACGCCCTCCATCGTCCCTCGTCATCTTTGTGGTGCTTGCCTCTGTAGGAAACGAAGTAAGGGAAGCATAAACAACTTACTGCTTCTTGTTTGTCGTGGACTGGCTGCAATATTCTGATTTAGTGATATGCAAATCCGTAATTACCTTTTAATTGCAGCCGCAGTCGGTGCCCAAAACCGATGTGAAATTCCCAAGGTCCTGCAGGGAACCTGGTTCAGTTGGGAGGTAGGCGAACCGACGTCGACGGCCATCGACGAGTGGAGCTACGAACGGCAGGGTCCCAAACAGGGCCGCCACAAGATTGAGTGCATTGAAAGTGCCCGCAACGGGTCCGATCACACCTTTATCTTCAAGGGTAGCGAGTGTTACGTTTGTGTAAAGGCGTTTCCGCGTACTTTAAACGTGTTCGAGAAGTTCGAGAGTAAGTCGAATTGAGTGCAAGTGCGATGGGAGTAAGTAGCTAATTGATTTGCATTTGTTATTTTTTTTAATCTGCCAGCACCATGCGTAACGTTGGACCGCAACGAGAAGCCTTCGATGGATCGGATCTGCCGGGGGTTAAGGCAAGATCAGCAGCGTATCACGTTGTTTAACAAGAATTTCATCCCGATCAGCTGTCGATCATCGCTGGAAGGCGTTTGGCACTTTGCTTATCAGGTGAGGAGATGGTGTAACAGATAATAAATTTCTTAGAAATGTTTATATTGTTCAATTGATTTTCGTAGAACCGGTTCCGCTTTACTGGTGAATGTGACAGTCCAGATGCCAAGATACAGTCTTGTCAAACACCCGGTACACAGTTTTTGATTCAGAATCAGAAGTTCAACATCACTTATCGCCAGTGTCAGGGAATGGATGGCACTTTCAACGGTGTGGTCGAGTTCAGCTGCCTGGGAGATTGGTTCATAGGAAAGAATCACTACTTTGCCGTAGTCAACACTAAAGAATCTCGTGAAGATGAAAAATACCGTTGCTTCCTGAAGAACAGAGATGATGATTTGTACATTGGTGCATCGATTACGGCAGAATGTAATACTCTGAACACCGTTGAAAAATCACCGGAACGTTATCGAGTTACTCCAGTCAAATCTGACGTTGTAGAACCAGGCTGTAGGTTTCCTCAGAACTTCACCGGCGAATGGATCAATACGGCTAACATCGACGCTGAAGTGACCATCAACGAGACGCATATAATCGAGACGTACTACCCGGATCGTGCCCGTTACAGGAGGACCATCTACATTTGCCGTGAGCAGCGTGACACCAGGATTATGATGGCTCGCCTCACCGTTGATGGTTGTCAAACGGATTACATTTGCTTCGATTTCGTTCCGCGGCATCACAACGTGATTCGCTACCGTAAAGGAACCGCCGTCATCAAGAACGATTTCAGCACCGTATGCTCGTGGGTACAGTTTCCGAACAAAGAAGAATGGCGCTACGATCTGTATCTTGCGGCAAAACCGGTTCCAGTTCGTTGCCCAGTCGCCGGAAAGTTCAATTTTACCCAGCAAGGAGAATCCCCCTTCAAAACCCGAATTCTCGGCGGTGTCACGCTTAGCCCTCGTCCGGATATTCGCTGCAAGCAGAACATTTCCGATTTCTCAGTCTGTGACACCGACCAGAAGGAAATGGCCATTGATGCCAATTACTGCCTATCCGTTGATTATCTGGGACGCCCGGTGGACATCTACAGTGACCCGGATTACCGCATGAAATGCATCGGCTACTGGCAGGAGAATCTCAAATCCTACCTTATCACCTTCGACGATCTGGATCCACTTTCGAAGTATCGCTGCTGGGTTTATCAGAGAGCAGAATTGAATCGAATCCAGATGTCGCAAGCCGTAGGGGCTTTCTGTGACCTTAAACAGAGCGTCACTTCGTGGAACTACACCGAGGGAGCGGTTGTTGCCCTCGATATGACGGAATACGAACGAGAACGAGATCAATGTCCGATGCACTTCGACGATGGGGAGAACCCATGGCAGGAGACGGAAAATTACATCAAGGTGTTTCCTTGGTTGATTTATCGAAGCGCCACTAGCACGATCGATGGGACGGTGAATGCGTTTCTAGTGTCTTTGGCGGCACTGTTACTGAAGTTGCTGTTCTAGGGTTGACAATTCTTTCTCTTTTTTTAGTAAGATTGTTCCGTAAGGAGGTAAACCACAGAAATCTCGTGTATTTTTTAGAAATAGAGTTACGTGTCCGTCCAGATAGGTCATATAAGTGAATATGATCGACCATTCCGTGCCTTTTTTGTAAGAATTAAATCAAAAGACAAATTTTTAGTTGTAGGTAACATCATCGTGCAGCATATTATTCTGTTGTAAAATAACTCCAATAGAGGATAATACAAATGATGAATAAATTTAATTACGTATACAAAAGAATACTACGTGTTTTGGTTCACTTTATGTGATTTGCCTTTTGCAAACCGGTTTAACCGGTTCCTCATGCAACGCTCATCTAATCGTCCACTGAAAATAAATCAGAGAGAGAGAGAGAGAGAGAGAGAGAGAGAGAATTATTTCTACTCAAAAGTATGGAGAATTACTAAAAACTGCACACGATAACTTGGAAGTACCAACAATCAATACGAAACTAACGATTTTAAATTGGCTCACTATTTGACTAGCCTATTAATCCCAAGCAAATCGATTAACGTATCCCATTCTAGTATAAATTCCAGTACTACACTATGTTTGTTTTGATTCGCTATGAAAGTTTGGCAGATAATATGAGGGGTTAATGGATTTTCCTATGTTTCAAGGGGTGAATCGATTAGCTTGGGACCGAAGATAGTACCAGAGCTGAGCCAAAAAGTTGAGCTCGTTTCTTCGGGACCTTCTGGTCTTAGAGTTACCTCTATGGAAGTACCCACGATGTTTCGATTTGAATGGTCTGAGGTTTCATTCGAACAGAAGATGATGTTTTGGTACAGTGTACTCAAGGCTGAGTACCTGCACGATAACTTGAAAGACCCATAAATGAGTAAAACAATACTTATTTTGAAGAAAAGTTGCTTAACTCATTAAAGAGTAATTTTTTTACATAATAATGAGTTTCTGTTACCCATTAATGAGTAACTGTTACTCATTAATGGGTACCAGATACTCATCAATGGGTAAAACATTGACTCATTAAAGAGTTAAGCCAACAATCAATACGAAACTAACGATTTTAAATTGGCTCACTAGCCTATTGATCCCAAGCAAATCGATTAACGCACCCCATTCTAGTCGAAATTCTAGTACTACACTATGTTTGTTTTGATTCGCTATGAAAATTTGACAGATAAAATGAGGGGTTCGTGGATTTTTTGTTAATATTTCGAGGGGCGCATCGATTAGCTTGGGACTGAAGAGAGTACCAGAGCTGAGCCAAAAAGTTGAGCACGTTTCTTCGGGACCTTCTAGTCTGAGAGTTACCTCTATGGTTAAGCTACCTCAGACCATTCAAATCGAAACATCGAAATCGCTTTATCGAATGATAACTGCAACCGGATAACACTTGTTTTGTAATCAGATGTGTTCCTCTCGAATGCAGGATGAACATTGATACGAGAAGCAAACGGACCTTAGTTGAAATATGTAATGCTCTCTATACATAAAGACTCTGCTGTAATGTTCTCTTCACAAAAAAAAACAAAGTTGCAAATACTGAAAAAAAATACGGATTGGAACAATCGGTACAGACCTACGCGACGAAATAAGGACTACGATTGGAAACTCGGAACATGGAACTGCATATCGCTCGGCTTCCCGGGTTGCGATAAGTTAATCTATGACGAACTTCAACCACGCAACTTCGAAGTCGTAGCACCGACAAACCGACATGACACTTAATTCTGACTTATGTCCGAAAATCGTAAAAGGCCGATTTAAATGTGCAGTGATCCGAACTGTCAAAACCATAGGATTTTTTGATCTAGATAAATATATTTTTTCCAGAATAGATCAGATGCGAACCAATGTATAACTTTTGCATGCGGGTTGATGGCTTAGCTAAATATTTCCTGCGAACACGGAGCCAGATGTCAGTAGTGTCCTCTGGTCAGACATTTTATTGTTTTGCTATGGTCATTCATGTCGGTTTGTCGGTGGTCGTAGCACTGCAGGAACTTTGCTGAACGGGACAAAAGATATGGAAAAGCGGGCATCGAGCGGCTACTTTCTACCAGAGCTGTGGCACCACCAACGAGCTGGGAACCGGCTTTGTAGTGCTGGGTAAGATGCGCCAACGCGTGATTGGTTGGCAGCCGATCAACGCGACGATGTGCAAGTTGAGGATTAAGGGCCGTTTCTTCAACTACAGTATCATCAACGTGCACTGCCCACACGAAGGGAGACCCGACGACGAGAAAGAAGCGTTCTATGTGCAGCTGGAGCAGGTGTACGACGGCTGTTCGCAACGGGACGTCAAATTCGATATCGGCGACAGGAACGCTCAGGTAGGACGGGAGGCAATGTGTAGACCGGCAATCGGGCCAAACAGCCTGCATGCCGTATCGAACGACAACGGCCAACGATGCGTGAACTTTGCAGCCTCTCGGGGTATGGTAGTTCGAAGTACCTTTTGACGGCGAATGCAAACTGTTAGTAGAGGAGAAGAATTCTGCAACACCGCACGAGATTGAATGTGGAGCAAAGCTCGGTGCAAAGGCTACGTGCCGCAAGCCGATATGTGCAAGGAATTGTACGGTAACCTTCTCACGAACGAGTGTGAGGTGATTGAGAGGTGGAAGCAGTACTATGACGAGCACCTCAACGGTGAAGCAGCAGAAAACGAAGGTGGCACGGCAACAGACCTTGGAGCACGCGCAGAAGACGACAGGCTACCGGCCCCAGATCTTCAAGAAGTTGAGGAGGAGATCGGCCGGCTGAAAAACAACAAAGCAACTGGTGTAGATCAACTACCAAGTGAGCTATTAAAATGCCCCGTAACGTGGGTAGATCACCTTTTCGTGGTACGTTACGGGATGTAAGATCTACCACCGATTCCTAGTCCTGACTTCTTCAAACTAGGGGAACAGGATTTTTCAGTAATCAAAGGAACACACCTTAGTCCTTGTTACTTTTTATGCCTTGTTGATAGTGATAAGTCCTCGCCTGGACCGAGGATGATCTTGAAACAAGGAAAAAATGAGTTAGTTAGTCTTCACCTATGTGATTCCTAATCTTCTAATCGTTGTTCCCTAGTTTGAAGTGGTTAAGGCTAGGGTTCTGATGCATGGTCATTATAGGTGTCAAAGTTTGTATTTGTTGTTAAGGAATCCAATTTTGACTGACAAAGGGGCGCGCCTTTGGAGGGTGTTCCAACTCCGAAGGGTATAAATAGCGGAACCTTTCAGTTAGAATCGATTCCTTGCGATGAAGGCAAGAATGACAACTGTATCAAAACCGAATACTTCATCATTTCTCAATAGTGATGGAGTAATACGACATGCACTATACTAAAGACACGGGATATACTACAATAGATCAAATTACTGGTCGCAGTGGTGTTATGTCCCGAACAGATGAAAAAAAAAGAGCTATTAAAATACGGTGGTGAAGCACTGGCAATAGCGCTGCACTGGGTAATTGCCAAGATTTGGGAGGAGGAGATATTACCAGAGGAGTGGATGGAAGGTGTTGTATGCCCAATCTACAAAAAGGGCGACAAGTTGGATTGCTGCAACTACCGCGCGATCACACTGCTGAGCGCCGCCTACAAGGTACTCTCCAACATTCTATCACAAACAAAGTGACAGACGGAGCGGCTCGAAAACCTTGGTGACGCACCTGCTATTGCAATTTTTCAGTGTACCACATGGCAACAACACCACTACTACTGGCTTGTACCACATGGCAACACTACTAATGGATTGTACCACATGTACTAAATGTACTAGAATGTTTTGGTTCTATCTCTTTCACTCTACTCTAAATTGAAATGCATAAAAAAATGACAAAATGATACACTCTTTGCACACTGTCAAAGATCATATTGCACGCAAAATTAACTATGTTCAAATCAAAACAAAAATACTAGCCCATCTGTTGACTGATGGCACAAGCTTTTAAGAAAATTCTATTACAGCGAACCACATTATTTGAATTGATTTCTTCGCTAGTTAGTCGTCTGTCACTTCGTTTGTGATTCTATGCCGCCGCCTGTCACCATTTGCAAGAGAGTTCGTGGGGCAATACCAGGCGGGATTCATGGGTGCCCGCGCTACCACGGACCAAATTTTCGCGATTCGGCAGGTTCTGCAGAAATGCCGCGAATACAACGTGCCCACACATCATTTGTTCATCGATTTCAAATCCGCATACGACACAATCGATCGAGGTCAGCTATGGCAGATTATGCACGGGTACGGATTTCCGGATAAACTGACGCGATTGGTCAAGGCGACGATGGATCCAGTGGTGTGCGTTGTTCGAGTATCGGGGACACTCTCGAGTCCCTTTGAATCTCGAAGGCGGTTACGGCAAGGTGATGGACTTTCGTGTCTGCTATTCAGAATCCCGTTAGAAGGTGTGATCAGAAGAGCTGGGATAGACACGAGTGGCACGATCTTCAGGAAGTCCATCCAGCTTCTTGGCTTCGCAGATGACATTGACATCATGGCACGGAACTTTGAGACGATGGCGGAAACGTACATCAGACTGGACTGACTGGTGACCACCGAAAATGATACCAGCAGAGAAATTCAAAGACGCATTATGGCAGGGAATCATGCCTACTAAAATTCGCCGCCGCACGAAGTTGACTGTCTACAAGACGCTGATTAGACCGGTGGTCCTCTACGGCCACGAGACCTGGACTATGCTCGTGGAGGACTTGGTGTTTTCGAACGGAAGGTGTTGCGTACCATCTACGGTGAAGTGCAGATGGATGATGGAACGTGGAGGAGGCGAATGAACCACGAATTGCACCAGCTGCTGGGAGAACCATCCATCGTTCACATTGCAAAAATTGGGCGACTACGGTGGGCTGGGCACGTCGTAAGAATGCCGCACGACGACCCAGTGAAAATGGTTCTAGAAAGCGACCCAACAGGAACAAGAAGAAGAGGCGCGCAGCGGGCAAGGTGGATCGACCAAGTAGAAGGTGACCTGCGAACTCTTCGCAGACTACGAGGCTGGCGAACTGTGGCCATGGATCGAGTAGAGTGGAGACGACTTCTTCGGACAGCAGAGGACAACAAGGCCTTAGCCTGATTGGTAAGGTAAGTATACCCATGTGGATCGATACAAGTAGGAAGAATGGTAGTGTTTAAATTGGACCCTGCACTTTTACTGACAATATTTATGTAATCACATCATCAATATTATTGTCAATAATTTCCTTTCGCGTCAATATATTGATACGTGTGGGGTTCGCTCAACGTTCATACAGATTAGAGTCGGTGTATAATGAGTCACGCCAAGAGAATAACATTTGAACTCGCATCACGGTTTTCGGAAGATTCCCATTCTTTTCACTTGGCAACAGAGGACTTCTACAACAACTTCAAATGACTTCTAGCGAGAGAAAAAATATTGCGGCTGCAGTAAATCATTATAGGGTAAACGCTCCTATAGTTGCGGTACGTTAGAAGCGTTAGGTTCCTATAGTTGTGTATGGAGACTCCATACACAACTATAGGAACCTAACGCTTCTAACGTACCGCAACTATAGGAGCGTTTCCCCTATCAGTGATTTTGTCAAATTATCTTAACAAAAAAATAGTAGAAATTCTCATTACTAATCATTACCGAGCGTATCCCATGACAATTTAACGCTCACTGCGTGTTTATGCTCATTTCTTCGATTATATTTTATATTTTATTGCAATACCTTTCGTGGAACTTTCATAGCATCGTATGTTTATTTACTTTGCACGATAGGTAGCCGGTTTGACAGTTCAATAGGTAGACTTGGCTTCCTTGGCTTCACTCTTGGCGTGACTCATTATACACCGACTCTAATACAGATATTTGGATAATGGTCCACGTAGGGCAGGAAGGGTGTTGCCAGATTCGAATGTGTTGGGACAGAAGTAAAAATATTCATCTGTTCTGGCCTTATTGTATTATGAGTAATATGAAGAAAATTGTATGGTACACCAGAGAGAACCCCACCATTATTCCAGGAGAAGTCTTAAATGATTTTTGAGGAAAGTCTAAGACGGTTTTAACGGAATTCTCGATTACTTTTTCGAAGGGACTTATCAGCTTTTGTCAATAACGCATTTGATCGTCGATTGGGCATAACTGGTAGCTCGCCCACGCACGCTACCATTACCATCATATAGGGGAAATTTTCGCGTTGTTTACAAAAGCTGATATGTCCCTTCGAAAAAGTAATCGAGAATTCTTGAGTAAATTTCAAAGAAATCTTGCAAAGAGTTTCTAGAAAGGGAATAATGAATATAAGTCACTCAACTCTACCATCAGTACGTTTAGCTGTAATTTGTAAAATTGAAGTTGGGGAAATTGTTCACTCTTTGCTCAGCATAAACCCAAATTAGCCCGCATTAGTTGCTTTCCAATCACATTTATTATGTCGTGTGCTGCGCAATCAAGAAAATTAAACTGATGCTTCGCGAAAATGCATTCATTTTACTTTTTGCTTTAAAAATTACCGAGAACAATTTTAACTTTCGACAAGGATCCTCTTACCTAAATGCCCACTACAGCGGACACTCGGCCGATCAATTTTGTCATGTTGGGGTTGATATCCTTGGCCAGTGATTTCTGCAACTGCTTGATTGCACTGGTGGCCGCAATGTCGCACAACGAGAGTTCATCACCTCCGAAGCAAGGCGTCTTGCCCAGCTTGGAGCTGAGGAGATTGAGCACCTGCTTTTTGTCCTTTAGATTCTGCTTGTTAATCAGAAGGTAGCAGGTGTCCAGAATGGAATCTACTTCGGCAACATCGTCATTTCGCTCGTAGTTGAATTCATTCGGGCCGCAACGGGACAGGAAGCGCAGGATGTTGACCTCACCGCAGATGGGAACGTATGCCGTCGGGGAGGTGATCATTTCGGTGTAGGTGCCGACTGGAGTTTTATGTTGAGAAATCGTTAATTTTGAAGTAGCACCATTTTAACGAAGACCTTACCATTTTTCCAGATGAGGGTCACCTTGATGCGGGGAAGATTCTCCAGTTTTGGCTCAAAACTGGTGATCGCATTTTGGAAGTTGAGTGCCTCCTCGGTGAGCTGAGAAATGGTCGAATGGATGAAGCATTCCACCTGCAGATTCAAGCGATCGATCCAAAGCTTTTTCAAGGCTAGCAATCCGTAGGGGATATTTTCGGGGCTAGCGTTAACGACGAAGTCTTGCAGATAAGATTGCTAAAATCAAACAATGTTTTAAGTATGTAAACTAATTATATTAAATTCGAAACACTATACTCACATTAATCGGTTCAATCTTTTTCGTTTGTGGTTGGCTCTGGGCAGGTTTCGCGGATGTGACTTGGGCAATTGGTTGAACTGGTTTGTTGCACAGCTTTAAGTCAGTTCGCATCGTCACTAACTGCTTGCGCAATTCAGCCAGTTGCTTCAGAATCTTGTCCTGTCTGGCTGCCAGTGCTTGAATTGCTGGAAGATCTTCCTGTTAACAGAAGGAGAGGCAGATTTGCATAGCCGTTCACATTTTCATAAACAAATTGCAACAACAAGCAAAAGAAACATTGATTTCCGTTAACCAGTGCAAAAGGAAAATTAGCCAATTGATTGAAAAATTTCGTCAGTCACATCAGGACCAAAGTAAGGATAGTAGTTAAGCATTTTAAGGTAAAAGTGTCTACAAAACCTTGAGAAGTAAGATCTTAATTTTTTCGGACAAATGTTCCATAAATACCGTGCTCTCGGCCGCCACCGTGCCACTGCGGTTGTTGATCGGCTTCATCGGGTACATACAGGTCGGAAGTTCGACGTGGACCGGTTTCAAGATTGGTTTCAGATCGTACATATTGAAGCGTCTACCACAGCGTTTGCCAAAATTTCGTATCGATCGGGTTGGTTAAAAGCCGGATGGGTTTGTTGTGGATTTTAACACTGAAACAGGGTTGCGTTACAATAGTGTTTTATAAAAAATAAATTTTACCATTTTACTTAAAAATAAATAGAAATTTTCACGACTGCGGCTTTCGAGTCCGGAAAATCTTTCACGTTTTTGCACTGATTTGACAGTTGTTGAAGTGTCATCAATAGGATTCCGAACTATTATGTCGAAGAGTGATTGTACCGACAGGATTAAACCTATCACATTGCACAGTGGGCCTGAAACCCATTCTCTGCCATGAAGGAGGGTTACTGAAGCCACCACCATTGGTAGTGTCAGCACTGTAGCCTACAGTTTTTATGCTATGTTTATATCTGTTTGTGCATTGACGACACGTATGCGTTAAAAAATCTTATGTGAATAACTATTATTTTTTTCCCTTGATTTGTTTTGCGTCGATCTTGTTTTCCGTGCTGAGCACCAATGCTACCGACACCAGGAAGGTAGCTCCCACCCCTGGACCCTACCTATCGACCCATCAACTCATGAAGCGGGGACCAACGGCTTTACTTCCCATCCGAAGGAAGGCGTGATCAGAGATGTTATGCCTCAGAACATCCCGGTGGCGCCGACTGGGATTGAACCCAGGCCTGCTGGAGTGAGAGGTAATCACGCTTACCACTACACCACCGGCGCCGCTAATAACTTTTAATGAAACGTGAATTTTTCATGATTAGCTTGCCTAATTTAAAAATAAATATAATAAATATTTTTATTCCTACACAGCAAAAAAATGTAATATCGATCAACGTAATTCAAGCTGATGTATGCAATAATGATGTAATAGCAAAAAGCAGATACAATATTACATCAATGGATGTAATTTTGTTCGCAAAATCGATGTACATCGTACAACGTTATATTACACAACCGATGGATTGACCTGGTTGCAGCAGTTTTTTTTTTCTGTGTATAGAGGTACCAGATATGTTTTACAGTCAGTTGTTGGTAATTTACCAACATAAAATCATCGGATGTATGTCTCCTCATAAGCAATTGTTTTGAAAATTTTTTGCTTTTGTTTTTACTTATAATTGTAGTTTGCTTAAAATTTATTTCCCGGAAAAAGTGATCGTCAATCCATGTCTTTTTTGAGTTAACGTTATAGACGGGGTATTTTGCATATCCAAGTCACATTCCTCATTATGTGACAGGAGATCACGCCTGCTTGCTGCAGGACCAAGTGCCACGCCATCCGAAGCGGCAATGAGCAGAGGCACGACAGCAGCGCTGTTTTATATTTTTCAGGTTCAAGCAGAACGATGTGCAACCCGAGTGTAACTTTTAGGCTCTGAACCATTTGGTGGATTATTTTAACTTTTGGTTAAAATTTGACAGATGGAAAGTTATCGATTAACCCTGCTATCCGAGCGTGGTTATTTCTGACAGACAAGAAGTTAAATTTTGACGACCGTGGCTCGAAAACCGGTCGATCGACAGCACGGGGATTTTCGAACATAAGAAATAACTTTCGAAATGTCACTTTTAACTACGAGTTAAATTTAACTCGGCAAATGGTTCACAGCCTTAATCTGTTAAATTTGAAAATCTTTTGAGTGTACACGCTTTTTCAAAAGAACCCAAATTTGGGTAGAATCTCTCAATACAGTTACCCATTTTTGGGTAGGTTCAGTTTTGACCGATCTGGGTAGTTTTGAAATAGCGTATAGACTCCTTTGGCGTTTGCCATATGACGTCATTGTGCCTAATGAGCTGAAACCATTCTTGCCAAGGGGGGGAGGTGGCTGTCAAATACGAACAATCGTCGCCTACCTCGCATAACTGGTTCCAAACGTAAACAAGCCATAAGAAACCTACAGCGTTTGTTTACGTTTGGAACCAGTTTCATACAAGAATGCTCAGTAGGCTGATTTGACAGCACGTCCCCCCTCCAGTTTCTTGCACATTGCTTGCACGTCAAAATACGTCATGATGTCAATTAGCTCATGAATATATCTGTGCCAACATTTCAAAGGGGCGTAATTGTTTTTGTAAACAATGGCTTTAGCCGTTAATTTCTCGCAAATAAAAGCTCACATCTCCAAATTGACAATGCTAGCTGGTAGAGTAAACATTCATCTACCATGTAGGTGTCATTAATTTTCATGAGTGAGCTTCTATTTGCGAGAAATTGACGGCTAAAGTCATTGTTTACAAACGCAATTACGCCCCTTTGAAATGTTGGCACTGATATACACTCAAAAAAATCCACACGCTCCATTCATGTGCTTTCAAATATGAATTTTGCCATTTGCCAGACACCATGATATCATGTGAATTACATTCGCATTTCATGGCATCAATGTCCAAAAATCACATGTCCTAGCTGTCGGTGAAATCAAAACAAACTAAACCATAATTTCATGTGTTTACTTATTGAAATTTATGGGACCTCCGCATATGATCTGTTCTAATGTTTTCTACTATCAAATTAACGTGTATGGCACATGGATCTCATCAGTAGCAGGACAAGTGTCAAAAGAAATATTAAACAGACAATTAATGCCAATGTATGTTGCTGATACAGTACACTTACGAGAGATTCCAGGTACCCCACAATATTAAATTACGCTTTAATTTACTGACAATAATCTCGACAATAATTACTTTTCCCAGCAGTGAGACAGTAGTAGCATAGAGGTAACTCTAAGACCACTGGGTCCCGAAGAAAATCATTATTATTTTTGGCTCACTCAGTACCAGAACAACGGTCCCAAGCAGTCCCAAGCTATTTCACTCACCCCTGCTTGTTCTGCATGAATCCACACACCCCTGATGTTATCTGTCAAACTTTCATAGCGAATCAAAACAAACATAGTGTAGTAATAGAATTTCAACTAGAATAGGGTACGTTAATCGTTTCCTTGGGACCAATAGGCTACTAAAGTGGTGAGCCAATTTAAAATCGTTAGTTTCGTACAGGGTGCCTTCCATTCATTTTGGCTAAAAAAATGTTTTATGAAATTATGGAATAATAAGATATTATAATAATATTTTGTTTCTGTAAGGAACAAGAAAAGATTGTGGAGTTTGTGTTTGACACATAATACCAGCCAATCTTGCTGCACGAGAGTCGCAATAAACGATTTTGTCATTTATCTCACCCACTCTTCGCTCTTCACTCTTCGCGAAGAGGCGATCAGAAAATCGTTCATTGTGGCTCTGGCAAAGCTAAATTTACAGGTTTTATGTGTCAAACACAAACTTTAAAATCTTTTCTTGTTCCTTACACATGCAAATTAGCATCATAATATCTTATTATTCCATAATTTCCTAAAACATTTTTTTAGTCAAAATGAATGGAAGGCACCCTGGTTTCGTATTGATTGTTCGTAGTAGCATAGAGGTAACTCTAAGACTAGAAGGTCCCGAAATAACGTGCTCAACTTTTTGGCTCAGCTCTGGTACTATCTTCGGTCCCAAGCTAGTCGAATCACCCCTCGAAACATAGGAAAAAACAATAACCCCTCATTTTATCTGTCAAACTTTCATAGCGAATCAAAACAAACATTGCATAGTACTAGAATTTCGACTAGAATAGGGTACGTTAATCGTTTGCTTGGGACCAATAGGCTACTAAAGTGGTGAGCCAATTTAAAATCGTTAGTTTCGTATTGATTGTTGGTAGTAGTGTTGCCATGTGGTACAATCCAGTAGTAGTGGTGTTGCCATGTGGTACACTGAAAAATTGCAATAGCAGGTTAGTCACCAAAGTTTTCGAGCCGCTCCGTCTGTCACTTCGTTTGTGCTTATAGTGTTCGAGAATAATATCTATTATATATGATTCACACCTCGATTCACACCTCGATTCACACATGAAAAATGCATGTTTTTCACAATTTGCGCAAATTGAAATGTGGAACACATGAAGATAACGTGTGGATTTTTTTAAGTGTAGACCTTTTTGACGTTTTATCGTCTTTCTCTATCTAGCAGACAGAGATGAATGCTCGCGTCACTTTTCAAATAGACCAATGTAACAAAAGTAAACAAATCGAGTTAAGCTATACAAACTATTACTCTTCTATCATTGTATGTGATACAAAAACATCCATCCAAATTTACTTTCATTCATTTGAGATAATCATTGATCAAAAATTGTCCAATGTACAGTTTGAAATGATGGGCATATGATTGTTACTTCGGTCATTCGGACTGCCTATCATGATTGGTGCTCATTTTCCAAAGGCGGGGCCAATCTAAAGTTAGGTACTATACTCTGAAATCTGTGAAAGGGAATCTAGTATCATGTAGACAAAACGTCCAATGTAACACTCATTGATTATGTCAGTGAGAAAAATCGTCCAATGTAACATGTCCGATGTACAACTCGACTTGTCAAAACGTCCTATGTGGTTTTTTCTATGTTGTAGCATGAAATTCAAAGTAAAATTGTGATTTTACCGTTTCTTCTGAATTTTCAACGTTCTTATACACTGACTTCATTAAAAATAGTATTGCAAAACGCATTGTTTTTAAACAGTTAAAATAATAATCCGTCGAACTTCAACTTCGATTTTCTCAAAATGGTGGATATGTTACATTGGTCTATTTGAAAAGTGACGCGAGAATGGATGGTTTGTTTTCCCACTAATCTGTTTCCCTCTTGCTCGCATTCCTTGAATTTAAATGATTTAAATAGTGCAGTGTGCGCCGATTAAACGTCAAAAAGCTCTATACCAATGTAATTCACATGGCCAGACCTGTTTCTCTTCGCATATGGATTGACCTTGACTAAGTGAAATTTGGATAGGGCGTGGTTTGTATCCTATCCATTTTTTTTGCGTGCGTCATCTGATCAATTTCATTCATGAAAAGTAGCTTATTTCTCGTTGTGTTGTATATATTCCTGTAGTGCAGTTATGGCCATGCTGGAAGCTATAAACCCACCAAAAGCGAAGTGCTTGTGGAAGAAGACGGTATTTTGGGGCGGCGTCGAATACCACACCATACAAATGTACAGTCAGCGACATATCGGTCCTCCGGAGGGCATTCCGGAACCATCCTATGAGTTTGAGCTATACGTCAAAAATCTGCCGCGCCACCTGTTCGAGTGGGAGCTGATTCCGCTGTTTTCAACGGCCGGCTTCGTATACCAAATACGACTACTGATGTGCTGCTTCTCCGGATTGAACCGTGGCGTGGCTTATGTGCGCTACACGAACAAAGAAGACTTTAGGCGGGCACTGGTCATGTTTCACAAACTACAACTGCCAGGGTCCCAATTTGGGGAACTGTACGCCGTCAGGAGCTTGAACACGCTGAACCTAATAATGCTAAACATTAAGGCCGAAATGACGGATATCGTTATCTACGGTTTCGTCATGTATATTAGTGGAGGCATCTGCGTGCGTATCGGTCACCGGGTTATCGATGAAAGTAAGAAATTTGCCATCATTCAGTTCAGGAGCAACTTCGAGGCGGTCCTGGCAAAACGGAAACTGTTGACTCATTTGGCGTTTTTCGGTGAGTTTACCTACCTGAAGTGGTACAATTGAGAAAATTATCATCAGTGTGTGACGAAGGTGTGAATTTGAAATGAAATGGAAAAGAAAATGTGTAAGAATGATCATGGATTTGAGCTGATATGCAATAATTTTGTTTATTTTTTTTGTGTATCTTAAGATGTTAATGTTTTTCAGCAGTTTTACTTTTATCAATAATAAAATGCCTTGGATTTGTAAAAAAACAATCTATTTTTTTTTCATTGATAAAAACGAGTAGTACGGAGGGATAATGTAAGGGAACTAGGGGCAAAAAGGTCAATATTTCTAAAATTAAATTTTAACGGCGATTAGTTCCATCCCGGAATAAGATAGGCTGTGTGAGTCGGTCGTATTTTATAATAGTCCTGTTGAGTTTTTCCAATCGTTCTTATTACTGTAAAATCCTCTTCTCCATAGACCTTTTTGACGTTTAATCATCTTTCTCTATCTATCACACATGGATGAATGGACGGTTTATTTTCCCACTAATCTGTTTCCCTCTTGCTCGCACTCGTTCGCTTTAAATGGTACAGTAGTGTGCGCCGATTAAACGTCAAAAAGCTCTATATTATGGGAACTTCGGAATTGACCACTTTGTCAAGCAGTTTTGGTGTGATTTTCTACCAGCGATTCCACAAAACTGGACCAATTAATTTCTATTTTTTTATGAAACGCACAAATGTTGGCTACTTTTCTCATGGTTCTAGAAGAAAAAATCTCAAAATAATGTTTTATTTCAAAGTTTAGCTTTCACCACAGACAAACAGACGTAACTCTTCATTGTGTATCTTCGGTTCGGCATTTAACGGTTGATTTGAATATTATCAGTTCCGCGAACTACTCGCCGCAGCGCTGGCATCGGATAACTTTGACGTTTCTATATATTCTATAGAACTTTTATGCAATATTGTTTACGAGTTAGCGAGCAAGCTTGTTTTCCGCGAGAAGCCAGAGAGATGTCGCTACTGAGGTTATATGTTTTGAGATACGATGTTTTCAAGAACAAGTTTTTCAAAGAGTTACGTCTGTTTGTCTGTGCTTTCACACTCACACTGTTTAGCTTTCACACTGTTTATTTGCGTTCGCTTTCAACGCTTCTCCTAAACTCCTCCGTCTCACTTTTCTACGCTTCTGGCTACCGCTCTATGCTTGTCTTTGTTCATGCCCTATCTATGCTATCTGACTGCCATACACTGATGGTAAATAACACATGTTAGATATCACACTCCCCTTTTCTTAGAATCAAAATCAACCTTAGTTACATATTCCTTCAAGTATTTTGGCGGTCTAAAATTACAACGATCACTTATCTTTTCAGTTGGCGTCATTTTCCTGTGGTGTATCCTTGACTAGAGGATTATCAGTATCTTCCTTTTGGTTTCCTGTGTCAGCTTCGAGCTCATCATGCGTTTCTAAAGCAATCGGCTTCAGATGAGAAACGTTTCGGTGGTATGTTTTTCCTGTCGATCTAGAGCAGATTTTGGATTCTGATCCTGACAGCTAATGACTTCAAACAGCTCTGATCCGAAATTTCTGGACAACTTATGCTCTCCCATAATCCGTTTCGCTATCACCAAATCCCCATTCTTCAACATATTTTCCTTTGCATCTTTCCGTTTGTTCGTTTACTCAGCTACCTGTAGTTTCAAACTAAAATCTCGGTCTCTTATCTTCTTCCCGTGACACTTGGCAGTTTATCTCTCAGGATCCTTTCGAATAGCAGCAACTTCAGTTGTAGTATGTGGTGAGGAGTTGTGCATAAGTTGAAAGTTTCTAAGGTCCCATCTCCAGTCAGCATTCTGCGATTATTGACTTATGCGCAACCGTTTCAAAATTGTATTGTTCTTACGCTTCAACCTCTCCATTGGCTCCATGTGGCCAATATGGGGTTGTTCGCTGCTGCTGAATGCCGAGCTCCTAGTAAAACCTTTTCATTGATTCACTTATAAATTGTGGCCCGTGGTCAGATCGAAGTATATCCGGAATTCCACGCTTTTGTATGCATCTTGGTTCTTTGCATAGGCTCGGGAGGTCCAACCGTTGACACCGTGGTGCATAGATTACAGCTTTTGACGTATTTATCCACTTGGTTGACCATTTTCAACCACCAAACTTTTTGATGTAGACGGCGTTTCATAACGGTCATCCCAGGAATTCCATCATGTGTACATGCGATGACTTGAGATCGAAGAATTTCTGGGATGACGATCTCCCTGCATGATAACTCCAGCCGCCGTGTGAAGCTCGGTTTTGAACTGCTTATAACTCTTATAACTCGCTGGCCATACATCTGTTTCCGAAACTTGCATAAGCTCTTGGAACGTTGTATCATTCTTGGTGGCATGTATGACATCATTTAATACTACATCATCGGAAATTGAGTGGTCTATTTACCAACAATCGAGATAATGAATCAGCGAGATTACTCGATCCTGATTCGTAAATAATCTCGTAATCGTAGGCCTGAAGCCGAAAGACCCAACGCTCGATTCTCGGACAAGGGCGTCATCGAGGGTAGAAAAGCTATTTCAAAGCCTTACAATCAGTAATTAGTTGAAATCGTGTTCCCAGCAAGTAAAGTTTGAATTTTTCCACCGCCCATACAATCGCCAATGCTTCCCTGTCTGAAAGTATTTACGCTCCAGATCAGTTGGCGATTATTCTGGTTTCCCCTTCCCCGTTTTCCTGCAAAAGTACGGCACCCAAACCATCCGGGCTTGCATCTGTCTCTAGTTTTGTTCGGTCACCACGATTGAAGAGCCCTAGATATCCGATGTTACACACTGCTGCTTTGACATCTTGGAATGCTGCATATTGTTTCTGTTTCCACCGGAATGTTGATCCAGTTCACAGAAGTTTCCGCAGGGGTTCCGTTTTGCCAGCCAGATTAAACACAAATCGACCAACATACGTAACCAAGCTAAAACATTCTAAGTTCCGAAACATTTTTAGGTTCTCGGAAACATTTGATGGACATGACCTGGTTTTCCGTTGGTTTCACTCCCTCCGAATTCAGAACGTATCCTAGGAACTCAATTTCGCTCACATCATATACATATTTTTGGTCGTTAAGCACCATATTGCTCCAGCCTCTTGAGCAACGCTTGCAACCTTTTATGATGCTCTGCCCTCGTTTCGCCGAACACTCTAGATAAACAATTGTCCCTTCCAATCCGTAGTTTTCTGGAAAATTTCTGGAGAGCAAATTTTCATTATGTCGAAAGTAACGTTCTCACCGATCCGAGAAATCTAAAGTTTTGGTTTGATGACCGAAAAATTATTCTCTCGATTATTCCTATATCAAATTAAACACATATATTCTCCTAGTGATAGCAATGTTTAACATATTAAGCAGGGTTTTAATCATATAAAACAGATCGCTAGCTTTCATGCTCAAAATACTGGTTTCTGAGTCAAAAGTTATTATACGACGTTTGGTTGCCCCTAATGTTGCTTAAGTCAAAGTGTGTTTACCAGGATATTCGGGAGAATTAACAATCACGTCTCCTTACGTGCTGCCCATTCATCATTTTAGGACCACCGAAATCCATAGCAACAAACAGTTCGATTTATTCACTTCAATAAATGAGAAAGCGAATCGACGAACGTACACTTTTCACGAGTTTCTCTGCGCTGTTACTTAAGACAAACGGCATCTCCATAGAAATCTGGTAACTTAAGTAACATCGAAAAATATTTTGATCGGAAGGTGATTACGTCAAAAAGGAATTTGCGACTGGTAAATAAATTTAAACATGGGATGTGATTCTATTTTCGGACAGTAGCTATATATTGTAATAGCAGGAGCGTCGATTGACAGTGATAGCTCGACTTTGTTTACTTTTGTTATTTTCGACATAATGGAAATTTGCTCTTGATATATAATAGTATTAACAATAATAAAACAGGTGCTGTTATACGGTATTTTTATTTTATTTTTATTCGCATTTTCCTGATGAAAACAAATCATCAATAAACATCAAACGTCATCACCTGTACATAAATAAATAAATAAATATATGTCAATTTTTGAAAAAAAAAACAGTCGCTCTATCAACGGATCCCAAAAGTTCGTCCACCAAAAACAGATGATGAGCCTCCCTCAAGACGGCATTGTTTGCCCGACGAGGCCTTCAGTAGGTACAGGAACTAGTGGTGAGACCCAAGGAGATGGTTCATGAACTCGCTCAATTATCCTTTGCACAAGCAGCATATCCAATTTGTCCTCAACCTTGTCTTCCAGAGCATAAGGAACACGTCGATAAGCTTGGCGAACGGGCTGAACGTTCCGGTCCACTGGTATCTCAAAGACAACATCCTTGATCTTCGGTAATTCCACCGTAGATTCCTCCGAAACACGGCCGACGTCAAATCCAATTTTCAAAACTTAGAGTGATTTGGCTGTCTCATCTTCTCTCTGCTAACCTCTCTTTGCAACATAGAATTGTGCTTCATCGGGAAAAATTGCTATTGGTTCTCTGTTTAATTACAGCTGATCTTGCAATGCAACGTGGGCGGTCAATCATGCTCATGCTCATGCATGTCATTTAGATTAATTTCCAACGTTCAGTGAATCTGTACTATCTACCTGTGCGACATATCAGTTCCGTTAGGATTTTTGGTGAAAATGAATTATACATTAGAATCACTTTACAATGTACACGAAAAGTTTCCTACTTTGTTCAAAAAGCGTCGCGCAAAATACCAAAAATTTGTTCTCGCATCCATAAAGCTGGGTTTAGATTAGGCAAGTCAAATGATCAACTCAGTTGAATTCAATTGACTTGAAAAGTTGAGTCTGGTTCAACTTTTTTCAATTCAAGTGAGTTGATCAAGTCAGTTGAATGACATGGTTTACACGTTCAATTTGCGTTCAAGTCAGTTGAATTCAACTGACTTGATCAATTGACTTGCCCTATCTAAACCCAGCTTAAGAGCTCATAGAGAAAAAAACATCAACAGCGTATTTTTGCTATTTTAACGAATGAGACAACAGCTGAAAAGGACAGTAACTGTAAGTTATAGAGGAAGTTCTTCAAAATCGATAAAAATCGTTTTATGACTATGTTTTGAGCGTGCAAAGTTTTCCGTTGTTTTTGTTTTCTTATTCTGGAAGAAGTATTAAATGTCTTATAACTAATTTGTAGAACAGCCAGAGGTGGGCGATTGGCCGATTCTGATGCCTACCAAAAAATCTGGTTGATGAGTAGATAATTTAAATACGTTTTCCAATAAAAATCTAATAACAACAACGAGGGCTTACAACAATGAATGCCTATGCCTCTTCTCCACCATCTTTTGTTGTCGGTATGTAAATCAAACAACTATCTCATTCAAAACACTATTAACGGAACTAATCCTAATCTGGAAGGTCTTTGTAGTTCCTCTAACTAATCATTTTGAATATATACCTATCCTCTTTACTGCCAAAATGATCAACGGAAATCTTCCTCATCAAGTCAAACAACAGTCTTCATATGAGATTCTTCGCCTATTTGCCATCCGATTTACAACTCATAATATATGTACAAATCTAATTAAGTAGCTTCGGATACGACACGACGTCTCAACGGCAACAGCGGCGTCATCATCGCACCAGATCTGGTTGATATCACAAAAAATAAATAAAACAAGCCTGCCTCGGCCTCGACTAGCCCCCCTTCCCCCTTTCCCCTACTAATTCATGTGTTTACGGCATCTTCATTATCAGCCACGGCAGTTTGCCATACTTCCTATAAATGTAGTAATCGTACGCCAGCTTGGTAACGATTAGTACGATTAACGAGGCGAACACAATGCTCAGGATATCGTACACGGCCGCCTTGTTGTGCACCGACGGCCGGCATGCATCGTTCGGGGTAAGTGTCATCATCTGATGGTACGATTTGTGTCCCTCGTCGTCCAGGATGTAGCAGGTAATGTTGCGAGAATCGACCACCACGGATTCGTGCTTCCGTAGAAAGGCTTGCATGCGCGTAGCAAAGCGACAACCGCATCGCCATGGATTACTCCCCAGGAAGAGTTGGCCCACGTGGGTGTTGCGTTCGAGGGCGTGCTCTACACTGTAGACTCGTATCTGGAAGTGGCGGAAAATATTGTTTCAAAGTGATTTATTAAAGTAGAGGATGTACCAACCCGGTTGATCTTGTTCCCCCGGAGACTCAGAATGCGAAAGTTATCCAACCAAGCGCTATCTTCGAGGATGTCGATGGACACGATTTTGTTGTTGTCCAGGTAGATGTCCTGGACCTTCTTGTAGTGATCAATGGTGGTTAATCGTTCCACGGAGGAGATTTTGTTATTGGCTACATGTAGAACCGTCGTATTAGGTGGTAGATAACTCGGTAACTGGTAGAGTCCCCTTCCGGTGCAGTTGACAGTGATCAATGGATGAAAGGTACGTCCACTGTCGCTTAGCCGAAGGTACGATATCTGACAAGTGCAGTTTCTAATCTGCTCCTGTCGGCAGTATTCCCGCAGATTTCGCTTGTACTCCATAGCCGTCAGCACAGGTCTCCCGGTGTACTTCCAGTCCTTGCAAACGAGCGTAGTCTTGTCCGCGTAGAAACCGCTTTGTTCTTCCAGCAACCAAATCATATCGTTGGTGCAGTTCCACGGGTTACCTGCAAAGAGCTTCTAGAAATTATTTGAAGAAACGTGCCACATGTAAATCAAACTTGCAGCATCAGCATCTAGCAGAACCTACCATGGAGGAAGATATTGACGTGTTCGCTTTCGAACTGATAGGGAACGACCTGCACCAGTGCGTTTCCTCTCATGTTCAGCTGTCTCAATGCCGGAAGTTCCCGGAACGTCGAAATCCGCGTGAAATTCAACTTAGTCCCCGTAATGTTGATCGCCCGTAGGTTCGGCAACAAGGGAAAATCTGCCTTCAACATCCACAAATTCTCTCCCATGATCGAAAACTTTTCCAGATTCGGCGTCCAATCGGCCAACTCATTGGGATCAAAGCTCTTCCACGGCCAATGGCATAGGATCAGCTCCGTGGTACGGTTGAGCCGTGCACGGCTGTGCCGGATGCGTCGGTTGTCCATTCCACGAAAGCATACCGTTTTAGACGCCTGTTCATAATAACATTGAGATTTGGCTTCGAGTAACCGTGCGGGGTCCGAGCATTCACTGATGGCGATATTCTCAATGGCTAGGTTCTTCAAGCTTAACGGTAGTTCAGCCATCAGCAATGGGATAGACCTAGGAGAGGGAGAGAGGAACGGACATCGAACATGTGATTTTGATGCGAATTGATTTACATATACGCTCTAATTGATTTTGATGTGATATGCAAATGAAGTGCAGAGTGCCACTGAAATCGAACAAGCAGTTTGATTTCTCAGTAACGGCGAATGACGGTGCAATATTGTTTGTGATCAATCATTTTACTCTGCAATGTAACTGCAATTTATCGACTGATGCTGGGGTTGGTAATTGAGAATGCTAATTCTGTCTCATGCTGCCTGAACATGAACGATGTCTCGAAGGGTTTATTTAAATCGATGAAAATTGGCCAAGTTGTTCGGCAAAGTTTTTCTAATCTAATGTGGACCCTACACGATTGCTTGTATTGACAATAATCGTATTGTCAATACATTCTATATTGACGTCAATGTATCGAGATTGACAATATTTCTGAATTCACATCATCAATATTATTGTCAATAATTCCCCTTCGCGTCAATATATTGATGCATGTTGGGTTTGCTTAAAGCGAACCCACACGTATCAATATATTGACACGAAGGGGAATTATTGACAATAATATTGATGATGTGAATACAGAAATATTGTCAATACCGATGTATTGACGACAATATTGAATGTATTGACAATACGATTATTGTCAATAAAAGCAATCGTGTAGGGTCCACTTAAAGCGAACCCCACACGTATCAATATATTGACGAGAAGGGGAATTATTGACAATAATATTGAATACAAAAATATTGTCAATATCAATATATTGACGTCAATAAAGAATGTATTAACAATACGATTATTGTCAATAAAAGCAATCGTGTCGGGTCAACTTAAAGCGCCCATTACATATGTCAATATTGAGAAACATCGTATTGTCAATTTTCCTTACAATATAATCAATATATAAATATTGACAAAATTAATGACAATACACTAAAGCGTTTGTTACACAGGTCAATATATTGACAATAAATTGACATACTGACAATATTATTGAAAGATAATATTGATGACGATGGTTTGATGACGAGTATTGTTGAAAACTGATTTTCATTTCACTTTCTCAATATTCTTCCCCTACCCAAGAGGAGGGAGAACGCACGCCATTTAGACCGACTGACTCACAATGCACCTTCACGCATGCAGTGTTGGCATTTTGTTTAAATCTTCGTGTGTGATATAAAATGGATATCAAACTAAATACAAAAAGTATCCTTTTACAGTCGCCAATCACTACCCAGGCTTCGTCTATATCGATGTTCATTTTCTACAAAATCACAAGCATAATCATGTAGTTTTGTTTTTTTTTTACTTTAAAATAAAATAAATACTATCCATTAATTTGTTATAATGTTGTCCTGTGTATTTTCTGTGTCCTGTCAAAAAGTTACAACATTTGATATTGGCGTTGACGGAACCGTCGAGAAATCGTCTCTTCTAACAAACATTGACAGTTTCTAATTGGAACTTTCAGTGGAGTGAAAGGATAGTACCAACTAGAAATACTCAGAGGGTGTGATAGGCGGAGAAAACAAAATACAATACGGCAGCAAGGATTTGTTCCAAAATTATCTTGCAACCCTTGCTAGAAGCTAGCATTTCAAATGACTTTTATTTTTGATTCGATTTACATGCAAAATAATAATTGATTGCATCGCAATATTTTACACATTTCTTGGTGCCATTCATTAACCAACGAAGATTATTTTGTATTGTTTTTGGTTCCAAAACCTAGTTGAATTTGAGAAGCACACAAAACATAAAGGGGATTGAATTTCTGTTCGATTGCAATACTTTCAAATTTATTCTAGAAAGAATAAGAAATCCTCGGAAAAATTCTAATAGGAATGTTCGATTGGCTCAGATTTTGACAGTTCATTTGGCTCAAAACATTCTCTCCGCCCATCTCTTCCTCTGAGTATTTCTAGTACCAACCAATTCAACAATTTTGAAATTTATTACGAAATTGTACGGACCTATTTAAAACCGTTCAATGATAATGTGTCGATTTTATTGATTTCTTACGAGTGATGGTAATTTGAAATTTTACCGACTCAGGTTATCCGAATTCAGTGTGTAGTTAGTATTTTCCACACTCAAAAAAAAATCACATTTCCAATGGAAAATATCCATTAGAATTTCACTTAACTTTCATGTGATCTCATAATTGGGAATCGCATCACAAAATCACATGAACCTTATGTGTCCAATGAAGTTTATGTGATTTGTCATGTACAATTCATGTGATCGTATGAACGTTATTTGAATTTCAGATAAAAATCATTAATTTTGTTATTGGAAAAATATCATGTGCGTTCCCAATGGAAACTATATGAAAACTTTTTTCAGTGCATAGGTCCAGTAACGACGTTTCTCTTTTGACCCGCTGATCCATGTTTCTTGTGTGGGGAAATTAAGACAAGTAATATTGACTTTAATACATTGAGGTTAAAAGGCTTCAAACGAATTGCCATTGATGTTGTCAATATTCGTATATTGATGATATTGATAGAATTGACTGTTTTTTTTTTGTCAATATATTCTAAGTATTGACAAAGTGGAATAAAAATCAGCTTTTCGTCAATACTTGTCATCAGTCATCATCATCAATATCACCGTTTCAATAATATTGTCAGTATGTCAATTTATTGTCAATATATTGACATGTGTAATGGGCGCTTAAGGCTTGGTCGGGTTTGGTCAGAATTAAGCAATTTTTGAATGTTTGGCTAGCAACTGACAAGTTTCACTTCGTTCTCACACAAATCTAGATCATAACCAATTCATTCAAACTTGGCTTGACACAATTGTTGGGGACCTCAATACAAATCGAAAGAGCAGTTGCACTGTGGTCCGAAACGCCAATTCGAAGGGAATACATTATTTACTCCTTTTCTACCAATTTTAGGGGGTTAGGGTATTCGTAGAAGTGGTTTGGTTTATAATTAAATGGGCATTATTTTTATGAAAGTGATGAATAGGGTGGTCCTCATTTTTAACTTAAATTAGGAATCTAACTTTTTTGTTTTAAGCAGGGTGGCCACTGAATTTAAGAAATTTAATTCCAGATTTTTCAAGCATTTTACAAATAAGACCCTATTTTTTCGAGGTTGTAGAAGAAAAGATATTAAAATATTGTTCCACGTTAAAGTTCGAGTGGTAGGAAACGTCATTTTAAACTGCTCGAATGATGTGATCCATTGAGAGCATTCGATGCCTTTACCACTTTTGCATTGATATGATTGTGTGGCAAGTCCAATCATACTTCTATGCCCAGGGAAGTCGAGAAATTTTCCAACCCGAAAAATTCCTAGACCGGACCCGGAATCGAACCCACCCGAAAAAAAATAACAACAAAAATACATTAAAAAACAATGTAACAATAAGACGAAAATTATTGTCTTAACAATGATTTATATTGTTACGTCTACAATAAATTTACCTTGATTTATGTTGTACAAAACAATAAATTTCATGGTAAATGGAAAATTTACAATAAAAAAGGGGGGTTGTTAAGTATCTTAACAATGAAATTTTCGTGATTTTCCCATATAATTTTTTTTCAATAACATTATATATTATTGTTATTTTACTGTTGGTTGGCGAATTTATTGATTAATAAAAATAACAGTGTACTTTAGAGTGTATGTGTTGGCCTGACAGATCTACTTTATCGACTTTAAAAATAAATCGAGAAAATAAAACATTGCCCCGGGAAGGGAAGGGGGTGGTATGTCTGTTACGGGTGGTCCTTTTTTTACTGGTTATGGATCGAGATTCGATCCGGAACTTGTGAGAAATGCAGGCCAACTCCCTTGCGCTTGATATCCCTAGGTCACGTCTCCTTGGTGGTTGAGCGTCGTTGATAAGTTAATGCATTCGACTGGAGAGAATCGCCCATGAAATATGCTTCCACCTGAGAGTTCCTTCCTGACATCTTCAAGTGGTGGAATTTTTTATTATTATTGTATGATTATTGACTGCACGGAAAAGATCTCCATTAAGCTTTAGAGAGGGTCTAGGATAAGATATGAGCGGACGCGGACTGCCTGGTTTTGAGCCAAACGAACTGTCAAAGCCAGAGCCATACGAGCAGCGCCTATCTTGATTACATTGGCAGTGTTGCTGACCCTCTCATAGTCTGCATGCTTCAATCAGATTTATTTTTATTGTTCGTGAAGTAACCCACAATGAAAATACACCAATATTTAATGTAACAACAATTTTTATTGTAATAGAGTTGTTCATTATTGTTCATGATCGAATCATGTTAACAATAAAATAAATGAAAAATACGATAAAAATCATTGTAACAACATTTTATTATGTACATTCATTGTACAGCTAGGTAGCAGTTTTGCCGTTTTCGGAAGAGTACAACATTATAACAATCATTTTTATTGTCGACAATAAATATTAATGTTAGAGCATTGTTTCCACTGAAAATTTCACTGTAATTTTTTTTTCGGCCACCTCCAACATGGTCTTGCTTTGTAGCTGCGCCTTTACCGACTGAGCTAAGGGAGGCCCCAATATAATTTAGATTTAACGAAACTTGAAAAGTGTTTAAAAGTATCAGTTGCATGCAAATTTTTCAAAGGGCATTAGATCGAACGCTATTGGGCCAAAGGGGACGAAAGTAATCCGCTTTACATTTCATATAACGGATTTCTACAAAATTTGCTTCAAAATTTCGATTTTTTAAGATAAATTCGAGTCGTAATGAATAATAACAAGCACCTGTCGATATTATCCGATTTCATACACTATTCATCGATAATCTTGGATGTGGTAGAACTATCGAGCATTATGCTGATGTTGTTTTTAGTGTGTTATGTGATGTGAACTATCACTTTCTTGAGCACCTGCTTTTGTGATTGTTGCATATTCAAACTCTGGAAGCAACGATATTTGCCCGGATATTTGGCAACAGAATTGATGGTCAAACGTGACCAAACCCAAGACCAAACTATACGTGTCATCGATGCTAATCTCCA